AGTTAGCAGACAAATTCAGTTTCTCCACTAGATTTAGCAGGAAAATTGACGCCACGTTACCTCAATACCAATTCAATTCTCCGCTAAATTTATCAGGGAAATTCAGTTTCCCCGCTGGATTTAGCGGACAAATTCAGTTTCTGATTTAGCAGGAAAATTGATGTCACAAAACCTCAACACCGATTCAATTCCCCGCTATATTTAGCGGGGAAATTCAGTTTCCCTGCTAGAGTTAGCGGACAAGTTCAGTTTTTCCACTAGAATTAGCAGACAAATTCAGTTTCTCCACTAGATTTAGCAGGAAAATTGACGCCACGTGACCTCAACACCAATTCAATTCTCCGCTAAATTTATCAGGGAAATTCAGTTTCTCCGCTGGATTTAGCGGACAAATTCAGTTTCTGATTTAGCAGGAAAATTGATGTCACAAAACCTCAACACCAATTCAATTCCCCGCTATATTTTGCGGGGAAATTCAGTTTCCCTGCTATAGTTAGCGGACAAGTTCAGTTTTTCCACTAGAGTTAGCAGACAAATTCAGTTTGTCCACTAGATTTAGCAGGAAAATTGACGCCACGTTACCTAAACACCAATTCAATTCTCCGCTAAATTTATCAGGGAAATTCAGTTTCCCCGCTGGATTTAGCGGACAAATTCAGTTTTTGATTTAGCAGGAAAATTGATGTCACAAAACCTCAACACCTATTCAATTCCCCGCTATATTTAGCGGGGAAATTCAGTTTGCCTGCTAGAGTTAGCGGACAAGTTCAGTTTTTCCACTAGAGTTAGCAGACAAATTCAGTTTCTCCACTAGATTTAGCAGGAAAATTGACGCCACGTGACCTCAACACCAATTCAATTCTCCGCTAAATTTATCAGGGAAATTCAGTTTCTCCGCTGGATTTAGCGGACAAATTCAGTTTCTGATTTAGCAGAAAAATTGATGTCACAAAACCTCAACACCAATTCAATTCCCCGCTATATTTTGCGGAAAATTCAGTTTCCCTGCTATAGTTAGCGGACAAGTTCAGTTTTTCCACTAGAGTTAGCAGACAAATTCAGTTTGTCCACTAGATTTAGCAGGAAAATTGACGCCACGTTACCTAAACACCAATTCAATTCTCCGCTAAATTTATCAGGGAAATTCAGTTTCCCCGCTGGATTTAGCGGACAAATTCAGTTTCTGATTTAGCAGGAAAATTGATGTCACAAAACCTCAACACCTATTCAAGTCCCCGCTATATTTTGCGGGGAAATTCAGTTTCCCTGCTATAGTTAGCGGACAAGTTCAGTTTTTCCACTAGAGTTAGCAGACAAATTCAGTTTGTCCACTAGATTTAGCAGGAAAATTGACGCCACGTTACCTAAACACCAATTCAATTCTCCGCTAAATTTATCAGGGAAATTCAGTTTCCCCGCTGGATTTAGCGGACAAATTCAGTTTCTGATTTAGCAGGAAAATTGATGTCACAAAACCTCAACACCTATTCAATTCCCCGCTATATTTAGCGGGGAAATTCAGTTTGCCTGCTAGAGTTAGCGGACAAGTTCAGTTTTTTCACTAGAGTTAGCAGGCAAATTCAGTTTCTCCACTAGATTTAGCAGGAAAATTGACGCCACGTGACCTCAACACCAATTCAATTCTCCGCTAAATTTATCAGGGAAATTCAGTTTCCCCGCTGGATTTAGCGGACAAATTCAGTTTCTGATTTAGCAGGAAAATTGATGTCACAAAACCTCAACACCTATTCAATTCCCCGCTATATTTAGCGGGGAAATTCTGTTTGCCTGCTAGAGTTAGCGGACAAGTTCAGTTTTTTCACTAGAGTTAGCAGGCAAATTCAGTTTCTCCACTAGATTTAGCAGGAAAATTGACGCCACGTGACCTCAACACCAATTCAATTCTCCGCTAAATTTATCAGGGAAATTCAGTTTCCCCACTGGATTTAGCGGACAAATTCAGTTTCTGATTTAGCAGGAAAATTGATGTCACAAAACCTCAACACCTATTCAATTCCCCGCTATATTTAGCGGGGAAATTCAGTTTGCCTGCTAGAGTTAGCGGACAAGTTCAGTTTTCTCACTAGAGTTAGCAGGCAAATTCAGTTTCTCCACTAGATTTAGCAGGAAAATTGACGCCACGTGACCTCAACACCAATTCAATTCTCCGCTAAATTTATCAGGGAAATTCAGTTTCCCCGCTGGATTTAGCGGACAAATTCAGTTTCTGATTTAGCAGAAAAATTGATGTCACAAAACCTCAACACCTATTCAATTCCCCGCTATATTTAGCGGGGAAATTCAGTTTGCCTGCTAGAGTTAGCGGACAAGTTCAGTTTTTCCACTAGAGTTAGCAGACAAATTCAGTTTCTCCACTAGATTTAGCAGGAAAATTGACGCCACGTGACCTCAACACCAATTCAATTCTCCGCTAAATTTATCAGGGAAATTCAGTTTCCCCGCTGGATTTAGCGGACAAATTCAGTTTCTGATTTAGCAGAAAAATTGATGTCACAAAACCTCAACACCAATTCAATTCCCCGCTATATTTTGCGGAAAAATTCAGTTTCCCTGCTATAGTTAGCGGACAAGTTCAGTTTTTCCACTAGAGTTAGCAGACAAATTCAGTTTCTCCACTAGATTTAGCAGGAAAATTGACGCCACGTGACCTCAACACCAATTCAATTCTCCGCTAAATTTATCAGGGAAATTCAGTTTCCCCGCTGGATTTAGCGGACAAATTCAGTTTCTGATTTAGCAGGAAAATTGATGTCACAAAACCTCAACACCTATTCAATTCCCCGCTATATTTAGTGGGGAAATTCAGTTTGCCTGCTAGAGTTAGCGGACAAGTTCAGTTTTTTCACTAGAGTTAGCAGGCAAATTCAGTTTCTCCACTAGATTTAGCAGGAAAATTGACGCCACGTTACCTCAACACCAATTCAATTCTCCGCTAAATTTATCAGGGAAATTCAGTTTCTCCGCTGGATTTAGCGGACAAATTCAGTTTCTGATTTAGCTGGAAAATTGATGTCACAAAACCTCAACACCGATTCAATTCCCCGCTATATTTAGCGGGGAAATTCAGTTTCCCTGGTATAGTTAGCGGACAAGTTCAGTTTTTCCACTAGAGTTAGCAGACAAATTCAGTTTCTCCACTAGATTTAGCAGGAAAATTGACGCCACGTTACCTCAACACCAATTCAATTCTCCGCTAAATTTATCAGGGAAATTCAGTTTCCCCGCTGGATTTAGCGGACAAATTCAGTTTCTGATTTAGCAGAAAAATTGATGTCACAAAACCTCAACACCAATTCAATTCCCCGCTATATTTAGCGGGGAAATTCAGTTTCCCTGCTGGAGTTAGCGGACAAGTTCAGTTTTTCCTCTAGAGTTAGCAGACAAATTCAGTTTCTCCACTAGATTTAGCAGGAAAATTGACGCCACGTTACCTCAACACCAATTCAATTTCTGCTAAATTTATCAGGGAAATTCAGTTTCTCTGCTGGATTTAGCGGACAAATTCCGTTTCTGATTTAGCAGGAAAATTTATGTCACAAAACCTCAACACCGATTCAATTCCCCGCTATATTTAGCAGGGAAATTCAGTTTCCCTGCTAGAGTTAGCGGACAAGTTCAGTTTTTCCTCTAGAGTTAGCAGACAAATTCAGTTTCTCCACTAGATTTAGCAGGAAAATTGACGCCACATGACCTCAACACCAATTCAATTCTCCGCTAAATTTATCAAGGAAATTCAGTTTCTCCGCTGGATTTAGCAGACAAATTCAGTTTCTGATTTAGCAGGAAAATTGATGTCACGTGACCTCAACACCGATTCAATTACCTGCAGAGAAACTGAATTTGTTCATTGGTGACGTGACACCAAGTAACCTTTATTTTGAGAAGAAATCTGTTATTGCTGCCTGCTTTCTGGACGACATTTAGGGGAAGACGGCAACTTTTTTTAGCGCGGTCGAGTGCATAACCGCACTCGCAAATGTCAGAGAGAGCTACGCATCCCGTGCGCTGACAATTTAGCACAGCAAGGCCTCTTCTACTTTCGGGTACACCACCTTCCACAGCCGCTCTCTTTTCGCGTTGAACTTCTCGCTCTCGAAAGCCTGTAAGATCTCGGCCTCAATTTTCACGTCTGTGGCCAAAGTGCTTCTTTTGAGGTCGTAACTTTCCATCACTTGTTAACGAGAGACGCTGTCCTTCAAGGCCCTCAGTATTCCCACTTTCGTCGCTAAATTCTTGGCCTGGTACGGCTGCAATGGAAAACAAGTAGCACAACTGACCGATGATCGGAGCGGCAAAATCGCGACACCCGGCGCTATTTTTCCCAAGCGCGCCGATAGCGAGAGAGCCAGTCACGTTGCATGTTTCAACGTGGGGGTGGCCGGCGAAAAATTGAGAGATAAGATAGCTCTTCAAATGCGGGCTTTCGGATGGGCTGCTTTCACCCCGCGTTGAGGCATGAAACGTGACTGTCACTCTCGCTATTGGCACGCTCGGGAACAATAGCACCGCGTGTCGCGATTTTGCCACTCCGGTCATCGATCACTTGTGCTACTCTTTTTCCGTTGCAGCTATGCTTCTGCCAATTCCATGCCAGGAGAGTAGCGCGCTGATGCACGGCAGTGCAGAGGAAAACTGATGCGAAACACGGAGAACCAGAAGAGCAAAGAATCATGGGAAAACCGGAAAAACCACGTGTGCACCTCGAATGGATAGCGGTCATACCCTTTGGAACTGACGGTAGCTAGCAGCACCTGCCGAATTCCTCCGCATTCCCTCCGAATTATTGAGCGTTTAGTGCCGTTTGACGGGACCGGATCGGCAGTTGAAATTATCCGAATTTCCGAATTAGCGGGGTTGAATTAACAAAGTTTTACTGTACTATGTTACCGAATAAAGGAACATGTTACCAGTAACGCCGGTAACATGTTACCACCAACATTGGTGTCGAGGCAAACCATGCGTGATGCCTGCCGTTCCAGGACTGCAGCTACTGGGCTTCAAGCCCCTGGAGCGGCTGAGGGCCCAGCACCACGTGCGGCCGTCCCACTTCGTGTACCCAGACGAGGGCACCATCCGGGGCAGCACGCGCCTCTTTGCGGCGCTACTGCAGAGCTGCCTGCGCCACAAAGTGGCACCGGTCTGCTACTGGGTCTCTCGAGGAGCCCAGGCACCCAAGCTGGTCTACCTGCTTGCACAGGTGAGCCACTGTGCAACCTCTAGGAGGAATCTAGAAGGCAAGTCCTGCGCACGACGTCGTCGTTGGTGGATTCCCGATTCGCCCCGAGCGGCAAACACGCTCAAGCTCGACGAGAGTCGCTGCACGGCGGCAGGCGTTCCGCCTTGGCGTCGCATACGTTGCGAGACGCTGCAAGGCGCGTGGGCAGCGATGCTGTCGCAAGCGAGGCGGCACTGCGTGGATCCACTAGCGATGACGTTTGAGGAGGAAAGGTGCGGGCCTCGTCTTCTGGGTGGTATTGGGCAGGTGCACGCGTCGCTCGTAGCCCAGAGTGACTCCCGTTGTGGACGCGCCGAGAAGGAGGTTTGCTCTGAAAAAAACCCTCGTGGCAGCCAATACGCGAGAGGGTCTCGCAGTGTTCGAGTCTGCGGTGCGAGCTTCTGCTCCAAGTGCTGCCAAATTGTTTCGCACGTGGCCATGCATATTCACGAATAAATTATTGCAGCCATTGCTCAGATTGAATAAGTAACTGTTTATCCACACTGTGGACAATGAGGGTCAGATTTTATCGCCATTGAAAAGAAACGGAGGCATACCAGACAATGTCGACCCAGCTCTTGTCCTAATACAATCCTTCACCGTGCTACTGGATCGGATGAACGGTCGGTGAACAACCTACCAGCAAAAAAATAGGCTTCTAGGGGAAATGCTTGCCCGCCAAGTTTCCCGTATTACCCGAGAGACTCCAGAGTTTTTACCATTTTGTAGGGTTGACGAAAAAATCTCCCAAAAAGCTCAAATTAACCCCCCTCCTTGCACTTAAACAATAAGTTTTTGCCGTTGCAACAGACGGCAACAATGATAGCGATGCCCAGCTGTCTCTCACTATCGTGAGCAGTGTAATACAGGTGTAATGAAGTCGTCTTCATGTAAATTCATTGTCAATATTTTTTTTTATTTTTTTTAAACTACGCTATATGTCTTTTTTGGCTTAGAAAACCTTCCCCGGATTTGGTTTCTCCAAACTTGGCAGGTATGGAAGTGTGTCATCTTTAGTGTCCCTTAGAAAGTTCCTAATATGCCAATAAATACCCACTGGTGCATACTTACCAGTGGCTGCCCGCCAGTCTATACTATATCTGCCAGTGTAGTCTTTTGCAACACGGTATCCGCAGGTATAGGTTCGTCTCCAGCAATTGCTCATTGCCTTCAGGCATGCTTGCGAGACGTCGAAGCATTGTCGAAGCTGGAAAGACCCTTGCCAAAAACGGAGCTTCTCCCGCAGACCTTAGATTACGACGGACAAACGTAGCGTCCGGCGGGTCGACCAGCGTTTCCCAGTACCGAGGGCGAAACGGTCGCAGGAGGAGGAGAGGGACTCCCACGGCCTGCAGCAGATGCCACCGGGCTTCCACGTGGTCCAGCTGCCGTTCAGCGACGACCGACGCCGCCTGCAGGGGCTGGACTGCCGCTCCAGCTCGGCACCACGCTCCCTGGTGTCTCTGGCCAGCAAGCTGGTGCAGCAACTGCGCTTCCCCTACCACCCGGACAACTTCGAGAATCCTGGTCAGTCGGACATGTGGGACTACTCGTATCGAATTCGGAGACCCCGGGGTTCGTAGACCGCCGGTCTAATCGTCACGCTAGGGTGTCCTCCGCTTTGATTAATTTACATACAAAATGTAAGAGTACAAACAAGCTGGTACAGGTTGAACGTAAGGAACGGAAACTAGACATTCTGGACGTAAAAATGACAACACGCGTCATCCCGTTTATGTCCTCGTTCTGAAATCTGGTCGTGAAGCGTCAGTTCGTTTTACGGCGGCAGCTGTTAGTGGCCCGTCCCCCAGTTTCGCGAGGGCGTGAGCGTGAATAAAAATGAACAGTTCCCCCGCTAAATTTGGCGGGCAAATTAATGTCACGGGACCTACAGACAAATTCAGGTTCCCTGCCAAAACTTAGTGGAAAAATTGACGTCATGCGACCCATGCACCAGTTTCCCCACTAAATTTGGCGAGAAAACACATCACAACCTTAAATTTATTTGTTCATCAATGACGTATCGACGTTAAATCAATGCAATCTCATTTCTATATCAGATAACCAAATGAATCACGATCGGCGCAATGTCTATCGATTGTCAACGTCGCATTGTCGAATAAGCAGAACAGCTGCTGCTGTCTAGACGCATCACGTCGTGGGATCGTTGTGCAATTTTACAGCGAAGCTGTTTATGGTTAGGATTCCGTGAATTTTTCGTGTGCGTCTACAAAAACTCGGAAAGGGCTCTCTTGGTCGTCAATTCAAGCGCTTGCGTCCCTAGTTTCCTTTCCTTCTAACGGGTGGCAATCCCATCGCACGTGTCTAGTTTCCTTAAACTCCTCGGGGCGGCGATAATTTTCGCCATGTGAATGCGTAGCTTTCGTCATGACGACCACCGATCAAGACAAGAAATGTTTGTACCTTTGTTCGAAATTTTGTGTCATGTGTGTCGTGTGCTAAACAACTTTGCTAGTTGTCCACCTTCACGAAGTGGATTGGCTCACGATTTTGTTTCTGTCTCGGACACTGAATACAAAGCCAGTTGCACTTTCTATTAGAGCAGTGGTTCTTACTTACTGATGTTTCGGAGATCTTTTGTGGTTCAGCGGAAGTGATGGGGTAGCCCGTACTCCAGGGGGGTGGAGCGGTATTGAACGAGTACATCAGTATTGAACAAGTAGAATGACAGCCGGGTAAATGAAGAAAACAATACATGCAAACCAACTTCTGGGCTGTGAAATGGAAAATAATCAGTCCTGCTCACCCGGCGTGTGTGGTTTACTCTCCTACTTAGCTCTGCAAGACAGCCAAAATCTATTAGAATGGACATGTGGGTGAGTTGGTAGGAGTTAATAGTGAAAAACAGTGCCACAGGGATGAGGACAAAGAAGAGAGATACTGAAAAGACTGAGTGCGCAGGTGAGCTGGTGGCTGCTAATCATGTTGTCCACCCGAGAGTGTGGTGCAGAAAAGGAAATCTTTTAATCAAAGGTTCTCTTCTGTGTCTGTTTTTTCGACTAAAAGTTTTTCCTTTTTTCCACCACAGTCTCGGGTGTTAAACGACATGATAAGAGAGATACACTGGACAAGCGCTGACTAGCAACGGAAATCTTATTAGAACAGAAACACGAATTGACGCCGATTCTCGTGCAAGCACAGGCACGACGTGATCTTCAAACACTTCTTTCTTCACATCTTAGAAAAGAAACACGAAATTAACGTCGAAGCACTGGCACTCGCACTGGCCAGTACGCATGCGCTGGCCAGAATCAATAAAAGGAAAGTTTAAATGCTCAACTTGACCAATAATCGAGGCCTTTGGGGACCCTAAAGAAGGCTTTCAGGGACCCCAAAAGGTCTGCAGAGCCCCATTCGAGAACCACCGTATTAGAGTGTCGTCCACTCCAGTGTCTAGGGTTATTGTTCGGTTGACCCACGTCAATAGCAGACGGGTTAATGGGAGTTGGCTGCAGGCGCATTGCCTTGGAGATGAACGTCCTTGTGCCGTGCCTTGCAGAGCTCCAGAGGTTCTGGCGCTGCCTCGAGGCCCTGGCTCTGGATCGGGACGTCGTGGAGACTTCCGTCGACTACACCCGTGAGTCTGCCAACTCTGTTTGCAGCAATGGTACCCGTACGTGAGCCGCAAGGGTGCTTTGAGCGTCGTCCCACCTCACCGCCTTCTCAACTGGGACCAGCCAAAAGGGTGACGCGGCAGAAAACCGCAAGACCACAGCATCGTGGGTTGCCCATGACAAGCGGTTTAGAGACGTAGAAGGGCTTACCTTTCTCATTTGTGATGCGTTTACCACTATTTTGGGGGACCACCTTAGATTGGTGCAGCCGATACGGCTAATCCGGGTGCATCTTCTCAGGGCCAAACCACGACAAGATGAAGCAAAAGGCAGAGAAGGATCTGGAGGCCTTCACCAAGGCTGCCTTTCCGGACGGATGTGCCCCTCCCACGGCAGCGAGGAAACGAAGCGTATGTGGCCTCGCGTCTCTTAAAACACCGAATCATTGGGTCTGTTTCTAGAATGGTTTGTGGGGCAGGATGTTCACCCAGCCGCCGACGTATTGATCAGTCAAGCAGTCCCAGACCCAACGAGATAAAAAAAAAAAAAAAATATTTGTGCGCAACTTTTGTTTTTTATTGGTCACTTTCAATTTGTTCAATAATTGCGGCTTAATCCTCCATTGTCATGATGTTGTATTCTTTGCATTTTGTCATGAACCTTCTACCGACCGAGATCGCTTCGCTACTAGGCCCCAAGTCTCTCACTGGGAGGGGCTTTAACGCCCATTTAAAGGCACTTTAGTGGGTACTCCGCGCATTGATTGGAGAAATTATTTTGCCATTCGTGATCCCGAAGGTCTAATGGAAATGATTTGATTGTTTCTTTTTTGTCAAATGTGCAGCCACTTCAGTGTCTCTCTAGACCGGGGGTCTCCAAACCCCGGCCCGTTCCGGCAGGCCCGCTATGGTGCATAAAGAAGTCAATGTGACGAAATGGCACCGCAACGCGCTCCAAATGTGCAAACAAAAAAACCAGAAAGAACAAAAAAAAAAAAAAAAATGCATCGTAATGAGGGTCCTTTTTCCATATTATGCGCCAGGGATCTGTTCCAAGCAGTATTTGCGCAAAGTACAAAAATCGTTGCATGGCCCTTATAGATGAACATTGTAATCACGAGCATTACCATTCTTAGTCTCCCGTTTTGTGTCTGTGTAACTATAAAAAAAAGAAATTCCAGTTGCGTTCTCACGTATATTGTGCTTAGTGTCCTGTGTCACCATGTCAGTTTTATTCTCATGTCTTTTTTTTACTGCACAAATGTGTTGAAGTTTCCATGCGCTTTGATTTATGCCTGGCGAGTTTTCTTGGTCACAAGAGTTGTGTAATGTCATAATTAGCTAAAGATTACATTTAAAATCAAAGTATATGTATTCATCCACCTTAGAGGTTTTTTTACTTAATCGCGAACATTCATTTCTGTGTTTAAATGGTTATCTATGCTTATTGATTTTGTTTTTCTTTGTTTTTTATTTACTCCTTCTCTATAAGGCCGCATTAGCGACAAGTCGCTAATGCGGCCCCGTAGCTGAAACATTTGGAGACCCCCGACCTAGACCATAACATTGTGCACATTAAAGACACTTCCAAACTTATGAGCACCCGTGACCTCTGAGCAAGGTGACTGGCTGTCGGAAATTTCTCGTTAATGTTTAGTCGTGGGGCGGATGCGTTGAAGTATACCCTCTCGCAAGGGCAACCCAACCGCACATTCCGTTCAGGCCGGTCCCGGGGAGGCGGCTGCGAAGAAGGCTCGGCCAGACAGCCGTACCGGGGCGGTGGACGTGGAGGAAGAGGCCAGACGTCGCAAGGTATGCGCACCATTGCCTCGAGAGTCCAGGTCGTTCCATGGCACAAGCCAACCAGGAGTGCTTTGTGGAAGGGCGCCCACCAACCGCCATGATCTCTCGCAGCTCTTCAGTCTGACGGTGAATGTGCTGAAGGAGTATTGCAAGCGCAAGGGCCTCCGGTGCCCGGCCAAGAAGGCCGAGCTCATCGAGTGCATCAACGAACACCTCGACCTCTGAGGGGCACTCCGCCACCGACCCCATCGCGTTTCGTAAGCTGCGGCTAGCTTTGCAGAATTCCTGGGTGCAAGCTCCCACGGCGTTTCTAAAACTACCGTTCTTTGTAAGCTATATCCTCCGCAAACTTGGAGTCATGAAATAGAGTGCAAACTGAAAAGTGGCCATGTTGGTAACCTGACGACTTGAACCTAAATAATGAGAACATCTCTAGTGCATGCGACTACCGCGATATTCTCAGAGTTTACCTGCCCTAGAAGGCAGCCCACCGTAGTAGTACAGTGTTTGGCTTACTGTTCGAAAAATTACACTTTGCGTCGTTTTGTTGCTGTAAATTGGCCCACACTACCCACCTATTGTCTCTCGGGCTCCTACTGTACATCTTTTTTTCTCGTTGGTGTATGTGTCATTTTAATTACGGCTGCCATTTTAATTACGGCAGGTGTCTCTTAACCTCTTTGTTGAGTTCCAAGTAATGAGTTATGTACTACGTTCTCCAGCTGCTCAAAACATGGTCGTGTTATGTTCTCCTCACAAACTTGTTCACTGTCACTTTTCTCGGTTTATGTACTTACTTGTGTCTATAGTCCATTGCAGATCAAGAAGGTAGGGCGAGGGTAAGATGGGCTGGGGAGGAGAAAGCAGACGGAACGCTGTAGAAGAATGGGAAACCTTCTCTCTTTAGTGTTCCGTCTGCTTCCTCCTCCCCGACCCCTCTTACCCTCGCCCTACCTTCTTGAGTTGCAACAGACTATAGCAGATTGCACCAGGGTGAGCATCAGATGTTGCCACAGCCTGTGGGTCTCACATTTTGCTAGCACGCCTTTGGGCTCCGTGGCTTTGCATTTTTGTTGTGTGCGGGACACACTGATATTTTCAGAAGAGTAACTAGCATGTTTTGTGCGCTTAATAAAAGACCTATTGCATTCAGTTTTAAGTTGTAGAAATTTTGTTTGCACTTACTGAAGCATACAGTCCCTCTGTAGGTGCTGGCATTCCTGGCATGGCGTGGCAAAATGTTTCAGGTGTTCCTAAATTGCACAGCAAACAGAGCAGCGCTCTATTCCTGTGGGAGTTATCAAAGACTTCCTGTGGGGCACACTTTAGTATGATGTTCCAGCACTCCAAGCCACAGTGGGGGCCAAATATACAATTCAAGCAGAGTAGTGGTGGTGTTGTTTTTAATTCTTATTTCCATTTTTTTGTCTATTAAGAATACCGCATACAATATGAAAAATTTTGTCACAAAAATATGGCTTTGACCTTATGTGTGTGTGGATGATATTGCTTTTAGCATTTAAAAGCCACTTTATAATTTTCCAAGCAGCGGTACTACTATGGCGAACTGAACACACTTGTAAGGACAACTTAAAAGGGCACTGACAGGGTATTTATGCTCACCAAGGTTTTTATTTGAACATGACCTATAAAAGCCTAGCTACCCAGAACACAATTTGCGGCACAAATATAGTTCTCTTTACTTGAAAACAGCCGGTCGAGAATTAACTGGTTTCAGTCGCCCTCACTCTTTTCCATGGTCATGTAGTGTTCAAACTATGTACATGTACCAAATATATTCAATGTCGTGGGTCATCTAAGGCACACATTCAATATTAAAAATAGAAACCCCATTATTTGTGGCTTTCAAGAAGCTGCAAATACGTTGATTGAAGATAATTATCGCGCAGATCACAGGAAGTAATGTACACGTCACTTTCAATATGGTGACGTACCGCAGGCTGGACAATGCTATGGCGGCGCACGACGGGCCAACGTTGCGACAGACATGGGGCCGCTACTTCGGAACTGTCGGTCGTAGTGCCGGCCAACTGATCTATGTCAAGCGCAGAACATCGAGCGGAACAGATATAAGTGCAAAACAATCGCACGACAAACGGTGCACAAAGATTCGTCGTCATCTGCTTCACATGCCAGAGAAGCACAGAAAAAAAATGTGGTCAGGTGTAGCCACGCGATTTCCGTGCGTCCGGTTTCAAGCAGTAGAGATTTTAGAGCGCAGCTCTTAGGCGCTCAATTCCGGGTTGCGGCATCACCGTCGGCGTAACCATGCGTTGCATTATGGGATGTTTCCTATAGTGACGTCACGAGGGTAAAATTTTCCCGCTAAATTTAGCAGGAAACTTTTTCCGCTAAACTTACCAGGAAAATTTTCCTGCTATATTTAGCGGAGAAATTTGCCACCAAATTTAGTGGAAAATTTTTATTGTCGTGATGTCACATGTGGTGCCCCTCAATCCGGGAAAGTTTTTCTGCTGAATTTAGTGGGAAAATTAATCCACTACATTTAGCGGGGAAATGTTTCCACTAAATTGAGCGGAAAATTTTTACCTGCTAAAGTTAGCTTAAATATTCCCACGTTAAATTTAGCGGGGAAATCGACCTCTACACCAATTCAGCTTTTTTGCTAAATTTAGCGGGGAAATTTTCACTAAATTTCTTGCTAAGTGGGAGGGGAGCAAGAGAAAGCCTACCCTCTCCTCCTCAAGAGCTGCACTCTAATTTGGCATTACAAAGAATTGTTAGCTTCTTTCATTTTTGGCTTTATTAAAGATATAGGTGACTCTGCAGCAAAATATTTATTGGGCAATCTCTTGACACCATATTAAATTGCCTGGCAAAACATTAAAAAAAATTATTTTAAAAATTGGAAGGCGTCAGTATTTTTTTAATGGCAAGAATGTTTTTTTTTTTTTTTAATGCAGCACATATTTTATGTAGTAAAAGAAAAGTAATTGATTGCTGCCAATCGTTGCTTGAAGGAATTCATGGTTCATTAGCATGCACCCTAACTATTGCTAGGTATACAGGCTCATTTATGTGAGCAGTCCACCAACTTGTCACAAAAACAAGTTGGGCGACCCGTCTGAAGACGTTGGCAAGCAGCCGGGGAACGTCGTCTGCTGCACTCTAGAGGTCCAGATGGGCTACCACACTGCCGCCGATAGTTACTAAAATGCAGTGGGGAAGCAGTTTTGCCCAAACAAGTAAAAAAAGAAATCTTTTTTTTTTTTTTTTTTCTAGGCTTGGTGGCACAAGTTGCATTGCCTTGCATTGCCTTGCATTGTTATAAAGGGTATATAGCCATCACCACCCATCCATCCAACTGGTATTCTTGTTTTTCATCCGACTGAGCCTCATGTGGAGAGCTAGGAGAAAGTCTTCTAAGGCAGCTCTTTGGCTTCATTGTCGATGCAGCTGTCGTGTTGTGGCCACCGGTCGTGCTCTGTACACAGGAATAATAATGCATAGCAAGGTATCAGGACACTCGTTGCCAGAGCAAAAAGTACCTCCCATATGACATCAGACTTTTTGTCTCTCTGTACTATACAGATCAGATAAGGCAATCTCTCAAGTTGCCTTCTGTGCTAACAAAAGCATATGAATTCGTCGATGTTCTGAAGAATGCGTCGTTAGCACAGACAATCGCACGGGGAAGGTGCTTTTGAAAGCCACAGGTTCACGCTTGTACATTTACTAGCACTGAAGACATCACATTGAAGGAAGTAACAGAAAAAAGAGGCACAAAGTTTGTGTCTGCCAGAACTTCTTTCTTTCTGTCAGCTTCCTCAATATGTGATTTCTACCAACTTCAATGGAAGACAACTTGTGAGGCAGAGTACAGTTTGTGCAGTAGCGTGCATACACGGCATATCCTGCTCGCGTATTCAGGGTTGCCACAGCAGGTACCACCAAGCAGTGCTGTTTTCGTTAAATCACCAAACAAGGAAGCCTCTTTTCATGACACTTCACTATGAGTTCTGTTCAAACAATCAATCAGTTTTTTTTTCTCCGAGATTGGGAAAAAAAAAGTTGCAAGTGCAGCTTGCAAAGCCTTAGCACCAGGATGACAGTGCAGCGATACATCCGCCTTTACAGTGGTCAAATACAGAAAGTTGACGCACCAGAAACCAAATGTAGCCATGATCCGTGCACTAAGATTATTGTCGAGTCATGCAGGAAAGCTACTTGACAGCAGTCATTGCCACCTGCACTGTCTGCCCTGCAACGCCAAAGGTATAGTGCATTTGCGGAAACTAAACTAGTCAAGTGGCGCAACATGGAACGGCCCGCTCAAGGGGTGTCCTGCCCACTATCAGCTGGCGGCGAACGCAGAAGGCTGCTTGCACGCTTTTTACAAACATCATTGCTCGAACCATAAACAAACTAAAGCATAAAGGCGTATCAACCATGTCATCAAAAAACAAAAATATATCATAAAGCACTTTTATCACTTATCAAGCTGATAGAGTGGGCAGGACACCCCTCGAGCGGGCTGTTCGATGTTGCGCCACTTGACTAGCCAAGTTTTCGCGAATGCCACCAGTTGCGCTCCCTGGAGAAAGCCGTTATAGACAAGTGTGATTAGCACTGTACATGCTCTCACGGTTTCTAGGGCTTACCTGGAACTTCGAACATGAGTCCCGGGTGCAGTCTGCTGGCTGCATCCACAAAGAGCGTTGTGCCAGACACGTAGGACGCACCCGGCGACAGTAGGAAGCAGACGGCAGAAGACACCTGAGCGCGTGATTTAATGCCTCCAGTCATGTCACCATACGACTACAGAGGCAGGGTTCAGTGCAAACCAGTGTGCGAACACCATCTGCTGAAAGAACTTTCGGTCTCCTCTTCCTGCCCAACATCAATATATAATTATTTTGAAGTATTGAGAAGCCACCACACTTGCCACAGGGGAAAATCGCGAAAGCGAATGCGCCATGTTTCAAACAAAGGCAAAAATACTTTGCTTACTCAATTTTACCACCTTTTTTCGTTTGGCTACTCAATTCCATCCTACACTATCTGGGTTTTAAAATAGTACTTCTAGCTCAAGACCGAACATTAGTGCAAACTGAAAACAGACCTCCTGTGGTGTGCCCGTCCTTTTGGCAGCGAGGCGCGGCCTCACAAGATCAAAAATATCGACTGCATAGTTTTTGGCCGCCGTAGCCGAGTAGATGCTGCCCTGCAGGAACAAAGAAAGTGCATTGGTGGAATCCCCAAAGTGCCAACATGGGCAACACCAGGGTGTAAGATAGACAGGTGGTGAAACGAGAGCCAAATGAGCGACCGGATTGTGTCCCCCTCGGTTTTCTCTTTTTTTGTGGCGCCATCTATGTGGAGCACCGCAAACTCTCACTCCAGGTGGGCGAACGCTGGCGACCGGTTAAACTGACGGAGAAGGTTTCTCGTGGATTTTCAATGGAGGACTGTCGTGTTCTGTTTATTTTGCACACTCTCCTATAGAGCTCCATGCAAATTCGATTCCAATTTCTTTCTTCTCGCCGCAGCGCCGTTCTGTCGCAAATCGGGGGTACCCGCAAGCCACCCGCAAGCAGACGAGTACACAATCCGGTCACGGCGCTGCGGTAGGTTTCTATGGGCCGTTTCCCCAACTGTCTATCTTACACCCTGGGCAACACTCACCGGAGTAACCGCATTGACCCGAACTCCACTTTCTGCCCACTCAATGGCCAGGGAACGCGTCAGGTTTTCCACACCGGCTCTCGCAGCTCCTGAATGCCTGCGAGGGGACCGTTGCTTCAGCTTCGTCTCGCGTTGCAAAGAAAAAGGGACGACCACTCACGCCGCCATGGGAAAGCCACGCACATTCTCCATGATGATGTTGACAATCGATCCCCCATGCTCTTTCATCCATTGGCTGTAAGCTGGTTGCAACATGCGCCAGAAGAATCGGCAGGCAACTACATAGCGGCACAACCTTGACTGGTCTACTTGCTTTTGTAAAGGCACAGAACTGGACGCGACAGAGAATGATTCGGTGTCTTGCAACCCCGTTATCTATCCTGTCTAGCAGGCCTTAACACTAAAGGTGCTCATCGAGCAAGTGGAGAACATGCAGTAGGGAAGAGCACGGTGATGTGCATGGCATCACGTGTCGAGGAAGCCACGCGCAGCACTCGTAGCGAACCTCTAAAGGGGTGTCTAAACAGGGCACTTAAGAACGCGTGAGGCGACACCACTTTTCCGCCATACGAAGTGGAAGTTGACATCCGGCAGTCCGTTTTCCGTTCGGACACCACCAGGCAAACGTTGCGGCTTTCCTCCTCCCCTCCTGCCGCACCCTCGCTTCCCTTTCCCATTTCCGCTGTGTTGGCTGTCAGTCAAGTCGCCTTGAGCGATTGACTGACAGCCAACAGAGCGGGTGAATGGCTGTCCAGACCCACGTGAGGGCATGCTCTCGGCCTTGGTGAAGAACACAAGTGGACTTCGACAAAAGCTTTCCCCTGGCTTTTTAAAAAAACAAAACTGACGGAAGCGGATTGTTACACCTTATATGGAAGAGAAGTCTCGCTTCACGCGTTCTTGAACTGTCCTGTTTAAACAGGATTGCCAAGAACCTTGTACGGCGAGCCAGTCGATCATGACATGGCTTTCCACGCACAGGAGAGATGGCACAGAACAAGGTGTGAAGAAGTGATCAGATATGTGACTAAGTTGTGTCTCAGTATAAGTAATTCTCTTTAGCGGATAAAAAAACATCTCGGCCACGACTTCTGTTTATTGTAGTGCCTCGGGTGGTCATCAAGTGACGAAAACGACGTAGCCTTCAAGGTATTCCCTCTTCCCTTTCTCGAAGGCACACCTCGTTTGCGAAGAGCCGGTGGATTTCCTATTATTGCGGAAAATATGAGGCTGCCATTGCTACAACTGGCAGATGCCAGCGCTGTTGTCTGCCCACTGCAGTAGTGCCACAGCTCGCTGGCACCTGTCCGGAGAGACACTCCAGTCGGAGCTCGGCAGTGGGACGTCGCCGTAACCTTTTGTGCGAGAAGCGGACGAACCTGCTGGCTGTATTGAACTCCTCAATCCCCTCAAATATATGCGCAATTTATCTGCATTCCTTGGAAGGCTGAAGCCATAAGCTCCTAAGAAGCTTTTGCTCCAGTGGTAGAGGCATTCGCTCATATTCATAGCCTATTAGACCACTGAACGAAGCCACACATAGCCTAGATTTTCTATGCACCGAGAAAGTGAGGGAAAGGAGGGGACGAGAGAGTGCGGGGATGTCAAAATGCCAAGTTCAGATTCGAATTATTAGTGGATAAACCTAAAGCTAACTGCCTTTGACTCCACTGCACTCTTCAAATGAGAGAGCCAATCATCGGACCCCTGCGTTCCGCATTTCAACTTGTTCGACGAGTGCAGGGAAGACAAAAGCAGCTAGCTTTAGGTCTACCCACTAATCGTTCCAAACAAAACTCGGCACTCCGACGTCCCTGCACTCTCTCGTCTCGTCCTCTCCCTCACTTCCTCGGCGCATAGTCCTAGAAGTAGGGTGACCAGACGTCCCATCTTGGTCGGGACAGTTCCATTTTAAAGTTTCTTTATTGCCGTCCCGTCCTTTTGGCCTAACGAAGCCTCGTGTCCCGTTTTCGTGGGAACATCCATGGTAGTTACAAAATCACTACTAAGGGAATGGAAGAAAAGCAAAAGAATGTTTACTTGTTGCAGAATGTTATAAAAATAAACCTACAATGAAACATACTGTAGTTGCATTTGTTAATAGAATTTGTTCGCATAAATGTGTGTGCCTCTTCTATATTACTGAATGTGCCGTGCTTTGGATGGCAACATTGCTTCCTCATTGTTAAAAAATAGGGAAGAAAAGCACTTTTGTTCTCAAGGAAGTACTTTGGAGAAATGTGCGTGCTTATGTTTATATGTCAAGCACATTTTTATGGTCACCCTACCTAAAAGGGTTAACAAGAAGTGGCAAAGGCTACAGGTTTAAGGTCACACAGGAGTGCTTGGGCAAACAAGGTGTGTACCACACAAAAGAAATGAGCTCGTGGCCTTTACAACACTACCACAGTTCAGGTACTGAGATGGAGCATGGCAGACATTTCTAAAAGAGCACTGCGGCCACTACTTGTCGAGAAACATATACATTGGAGAGCTCTCGTAAAGGAGTCCCTCTGGCCTTCTTTGGGGTGCTCTCGACAGGGCAGACCACTTGCACCCACCTTCTTTGCACGTAAGAAAGGTTCCAGTGAGGTTGGTCTCGACCACGGCGTTCCATCCCTTTAACGAGATGCCGTCTGCCTTCGATAAAAACTGGCCACCCCCGTTGTTGACCAGGAAGTCGAGGCGGCCATGGCTCTCTAGAGTCCTGCTGATTAGGTTCTTCACCTGGTGAAACCAGTGGGAATAAACGTGGGACTGTGTTGACTGTGTCTTGTATGCAGTCTGCATTAATTGGCGGTAAAAGGTATTCTGGTGCAGCGTATAATTTGACATCCCCAACTCCTCACTCCCCTTTCGGGATTGAAATGGTTTTCATAATTATTCCTAATCAGGTTCTGGACGATCCCTTGTACCCATGTGCAAGCGTTTGCGGTGTAATGAATGGGACCGTTGCACCAGCGAAGGGTAGCTGAACATAACTGTGGCATTTGTTGCAATCTTGATCCTTAGCTAAGCAGATGATGCGAAGGATAGTGGTCTTATTCTGTGGAGGACGTTTATGTTCCGTTCTCTTTTTCAACTCTTCGTTGACGTGTCGAATCAGCCTCGCAACTTGCTTCTATGAGGGTTCTAACCATATTTATTTATAACTGTGGACTGCTCAGATTGTGATTTGTTTGAGGAAGTTGGTGAAGAGCCCGTTTTTTCAGAAGAACCTGGTTATGAAACCATTTTTTTTTTAGCTTGAAAGCGTTTCACATTACAGTTATTCACATTGTTCCTCTTTTCATGAAAACTGCAGTATAGATGCCAAATTGTAATAAAAATGACATGCACAAAGCAGAGATTTGAGCTTTCCCTTCTTCCAGCTCCCCAGTTGCGAGGCATGAACCATGACTTTCTTTTCTCTACAGTTTCAAAAGCAAAGGCTCAGATATAGCCTATACCCTGTTTCATACGTATAATGTACTATGCTGTCAAAGCTGCTGGTGTGAACATGGGTTTTATAATCTTGCAGATCATTTGCATACATTGTCGCACAATCACAACTGTAGATAAAGCCATGCGCTCGTGCCAGTAGCTTTAACAGCGTTTTATATTCAGTATGAAACGGAGTATTGTCAACTTATTTGCAATGGTCTGCCACTAGCCCAGCCGTTGACGCAACCCCGGTGATGCTCGTACGAGTCTTGCTTTGAATAGAGCCTCGCCAGCCTGCTCACCCACCTGTTCCTCACTGCGGATGTTACATGGTGTGTACAAGATGCGAGGGCATCCCTCCTGGTTCGTCAATCGGCTCTGAAGCTCGTTGGCCGCACCTTTCAGGTTCTCTTCGTTCCTAGAGGCTATTGTGACACTGCAACCTGGGTTGGAACATTGCTTGTGTCTTAAGTATGTACCTGCATATGTATGACTTGAAATTACAACCATCTGCAGAAAAGCATATGTGACCGACAAGGTGCAGAGCTAACCCAGAGGTTAGCTATAGCATGCGGTAAAGTACAAGTAAAATATACTGTAACTGGAGGTTTTTCTACATTATCCAGTCAAATGATCCTATACATGGCTTGCACTGACACCACATCAGCCGTCATTGCTACATACCATGCTCACTTGCCCGTACCTTCGGCAGCATACATTTGGCACCATTGAATTTGTTTTCGCTGCAATTCATTCTTCTCGGCTTGCCGAGAAGAACAGATTCGATGGTGTGAAATGTATGCTGCGGAAGGTATGGACACAAGAGCATGGTACGGATAAATGGCAACTGGTATGGTGCCGAAGGACGTTGGAAATGGCAGCTGGTATGGTGCCGAAGTTGGAACAAGTATCATGGCAAATTTCAGGAAAGAACTTGGAAATCAATTCCTTAAACCACAAGCTTCTGGAATATCTTTGGAGCAGAACGCAAATACCGAAAAGCTCGAGGTACAGCTAAGCATTTCTTGCGAGCTGTGAATGCGAAAGCATGCAAGCCGCTTGTCCACTTCCTTTGTCGTCTGCTCGTTCGCTCCCTCTGCCATCTGCTGCATACTAGCGCTCGCGTGCTTCGGGATCTCGGAGGCGATGCAGCGGCCAATAGGAGCCCCGTCGACGCGCGCCAGCCAACGGAACCGAAGGCACGTGGAAACTAAGAGCCATTTTTGCGCTTCCAACTGATAACGCCAGCTCGCTCCATGAAACAGCTAATGCTTTCGCATTAAAACAAGTATGTCTAAATAAGCACTGAACACAAGAGCTATGTTTAAATGTCATGGGCAACTGTCAGAATTGCTCAGATGCGGTGCGGAGTTTCCTGTCTTTCCTCCGAATCGTTTACTATAAAAAGAGTGGCTATTCGGGATAGTTGGTTGGTGGTCATTTCATAAAACTTGCGAATGGGCAGCAAAGATTAGGATGAAGGGAGGACAGGACACAAACGAGGCACAACTTCCAACTGATTTTTATTGAAACTTGTTCGCTATTTGAAATCAACCCTTGTCACGAAACAAAACAACCGTCACGGCGCATGCACAAGGTACAGCATTACCTCGCCCTCAGGAAAGCAATCTCCTTCTCAGATAGCGTTAGTGAAGGCATAGCGACACACATATCGCCCAACTAGCTGATTACTTGGGTGATATGTTTGAGGCGTTGCCTTCGATAGAGCTATCTGAAAAGGAGCTTGCTTTCCATAGGGCAAAGTAATGCTGTACTTTGTGCATGCTCGGTGACGGTTGTTTTGTTACCAGGGTTGTTTACAATACCGGTACAAGTTTCAGTAAAAATCGGTTTGAAGTTGCACCTCATTTGTGTCCTGTCCTCCCTTCGTTCTCTTTGCTGCCCACGCACAAGTTTTATAAAATGTTTACTATACTCCATTCCACCTTACGTGCTACTGCAGCGGACGCTATGAGCCATTCCGGCTCTGTGAACGTAGCATGTGACACACTCTCTGCGCGTCACTACACCCAAGGTCACGTAACACTCAAACGGCCTTGGACCAGCTCATAGCATTCGCTTTGGCTAGGCATAAGGCAAGGGGGGGGGGGGGGGTGCTCCCCATGTTTACGCCACTGGTGATTGTGTCTCCTTCACATAGGATCATTGTTGTAGTCTTTCCTATTTGCCTGGAGACCCAGAATGAATTTAGGGGAAACATGCTCTTGTTTATCCACGGTTCTATGAGGTATGTGGTGATTCCCTTTGTCCACAATGCGGTGGAAAAACCTTCTGACATTTTGAAAAGAAGCTCAGACAGCGCGAGCACCAGTTGTGAGCGGGCGCAGGGGTATCCGTAGCTTTGCATTATTGCCAAGTTGTCCCAAGTACACAACAGCACAGAGCACGGGCAAGGGTACAAAGCACGAGCTCTTAACAGTCGATTCCAGTGCGCGAGCGCTGCACTGGCGCCTCCCGTGGCTTCGGCCTCGCGTTCGTAGCATTCGGTTTGATCCAAATTTACGCGAAGCAGAACAGCTGATGTTGCGCGCACGTTTATGCGGAGCGCATTTCGGCCCCAACTTCGTGTTCGAGGTGAGGTGGGAAGGAACGTCCGAATACCCAAATGAAGGAGCTCCTCCGCCACGGCCTTTCCGATCCCTGTCGCTCCCCCCGTCACCACGGCCACCTTGTGTTTGAAAAGTCCCGGTCGGAAGATGCTGCGCACGCACCGCACACCCTTGCTCATGTCGACGAGGACGAAGCGGAGGTAGCTTCGTGCACGGTTCAGACACCGCTCGGTCTGGTGTCGAGCGACGAACTAACCAACAGACTTGTTTCAGCAACTACTTTCTGCCTACGCTGGCGATGTGGCCAAACCACCGAAGCAGCCGACGCGGTCGAAGGGCCGAAGTTCCCAGCAAGCACACGAGCAACCTGTACGAGCGGGAGCCAAGGGCGGGGGCACCGTAAAATGGTAAAAGTGGTAAAAGCAGTAAAAGCGTAAAAGCTGGTAAAAGCCGTAAAAGCACTGGATGGATGGATAAATAACTACGGCTCTGATAACATATAAATAACAGACAGAGCCGTGTATAGGGTGTATAGATAACAGACAGCTCTGAATGCGGCTGACCCCATTTAATCTGGCGGCGGCTTGCGCCACCTGTCCACAGCTTCTAATGAAACACGCGAGTCACCACAGCAACAAGCGCGGCGCTTCAACAGCCGCGACGCCAGCAACGCTAGCACGCGGCGACGGCACGAGGGCACGACGCCGAAGCGGACTCGTCGGTTTTGCAGCGTACGTGGAGAAACCTTTGCACGAGCGTTTTTGGTGTCTGACCTTCATCCCCGCAACGTTGATCCAGTTGTCCTCGGAGCGATCAAATATCCCGTGATGAACGAACGTGCGTGAATCTGACTTGTGTACAACTGTGTTTCGTGCGTTCCCCGTTGGTGTCCCCAGCATCCCCAGTGTTTCTTGAAGCACCAGCACCAGCAGAAGCACCGCTTTTGCCGGGCTGTGCTGCTGTGCTTGCTGCAGAAAAAGAAATAATGGACAGCATCCTGAGTCCTGACTGGATCGTGAGACTCTATTAGCGGTACTGGCGGTACTCGTATCCACCTTTTTGGCGCGGTCTGGAGTGGCCGGCCGGAGTGATCCTGGAGCATGGGCACGTCTTCCGAAGACGTGCTTCTGATGGTGGGTAATGTGCGCTACAAGAAGAACAACGGCACGCTGTATCTGATGGCCGAGCGTATTGCTTGGATGCTGGAGGGAAAAGACACCTTTCCCGTGAGCCACAAGTACGCCGACGTCAAAAGTGAGTGGTTTCAAAGATTCTGCGCACCCTCAACAATTCGCACTTCAGACACATCTCGCTGACTGCTGTTCGGTAAAGAGAACATTTTATTTCGCGGAACAAACAAAAAATTGTCAAACTGGGAACCAGTATTCTCAAAAATCGCTCGGAAACAACTGCCAACCACGAGGATCTATTCGAAGCACAATAATGAATGGAAAACTTGAAGTTGGAAATGGTTGAAAGGGGCCCCCCCTTGATGACAATAATCCCTGCGGGCGAGCATGCCGGATTCCTGGACTTTACGTCGTATATCTCCAAACATCACTTCCGGGTCCACCCGAAAGTGTCCACTAGAGTCTGTCCACTCCCAAAGTTTGAACTAAAAGGGCATCTTCCCTCTCCTTTTAGCAAGCAGCAATGAGAGGGGAAAGGATTTTCAGCCTCGCGGATGTAAATTCCAGCCGTGCATGATTGCACGGGCAGATTCGGTAATAATAGCGAGTAACCTTCCGGCATAAACACAAGGGGCTTGTTGAGGATGCATACCCATCCTTGGGCCCTCCGCGGGCTAGAGCAATGGTGTGGATGGCACAGTGCAGAAGATCTCCCCGGAGGGCAAGGCAAAGGTGCAGCTCCAGGTGGTTCTGCACGGTGCCGAGGGCTCTGCCACCACGTTCCACTTTGTGAACCCGCTGGGGACCCGGGCCCAGCTGGACGACCGCAACAGCGTCAAGGAGCTGCTCCAGCAGCTGCTGCCCAAGTTCAAGCGCACCCTCAACTCGGACCTGGAGGAGAAGAACCGGTACTTCATCTCCTTTCACCCTCCGTCGGCACGAAGGAAGGGCACTCTTGTTGCACGTAAATGCAACGCGTGCGATCATCCTTTATAGTGCACCACTCACGTGCTATATGGAGCAGTCCATTCTGTTGCACAGTCAGTCTGCCGAACCGCGTACTACGGTGCTTGGAACGCGTCTCCAACTGGTGTGTTTACTGCGTCCAAAAGAGTGGTTCCTCGATTTCCTCCTTATGACGTCATAGAATATTTGTGCTGTCCCTCGCCGCGATCCTGGCAATGTCTCGGCGGCAGTGGTGTATGTGGCGGACGCCTCTTCTGCTGCGCGTTGCTCACCAGCTTGACAGTCCACGGAAGCTTCGGCAGCCAGGAGTTGGGATGCCACGATGACAGCGACACTCACACTTGCTCGTGCTTTTTGCCAGAACTTCTAGGCCCAACTGCCAGGATTGCGACATCTAACAGCGCGACACTCCGGCTTCTGTGACGTCATTGGTTGCCACTTTGGGACCACCTTGGGTGCATGGGAGGAATTGGACGCCGAACACACCAGGCGGCATAGCGCAACGGGACTTGAGTGGCCCTTAAATCGTCGGTGAATGTGCGGGACTCGTCTTTGCGCAGGATGCTCCAAGAAGACCCGCGCTTGTTCGAGCTGTACAGAAGTCTCGTGGTGAGCCGAGTGGTCACGCCAGAGGAGTTCTGGGCCAACCACGCACCGGTGAGTGACGCAAACGGAGAAGGCTCGCTTTGGGTCGAGAAAGGCCGCGACACAATCGAGAGCTCTGTGCGGCTGTCAAAGGTTCCCAGAGTGCTTTGTGCTTGAATAGATCGGGTAGAGTCTTACACAGAGTCACTCGTGCCCCACCCGGGCTCTCTTTTGTCTTATGCTCTCTTAGGGTTGGCAGGAATTGGGCTTCTTCGTTGTCTCGTTTGCAACTTGCCTGTACCATAAAGGCACGCAATTTCGGCAATTTCATTGAATTCGGATACAACTTGCGGGATGAAAAAAGTAACTCTTAAATTGCAGATATTAAAGGAATGCTGCACCAAACATTTCAGTGTCTATAATAAGTGGCGCACAATCTTTCCACGAGCCAGCAGCCACCGGTATGTGCGAGCACATGCAACGAAATTGACGTCATAGTCCCCCATTCATGCTTAAGATGACAGTGAAATGTGTGGGCTCCTGAGAAAGGGAGAATAAAGACAAGCTTTTCATCTCCATATTGCGGTCTGGTGTAAAGGGTAAGCGATTGATTGCTGTAACAAGCACGTAGCTTTCACTTGTATAGATGAAAAGCCTGTCTTTATTCTCTTTTGTCCCGTAGCCTATACATTTCACTGTCACCTCAAGCGCGAATGGGAGACTGTGATGTCAATTTCATTGTTTGTGCTCAAACACATTGGCAGCTGCTGGCTCGTGGAAAGAATGTGCGCCACTTATTATGGACACTAAATTGTTTGGTTGAGTATCCCTTTAAGTCAGTGCATGACTGCACAGCTCTGATATGACAGTTTGGGGAATTGAAGACAGCCCAAAGACTTAAACTTCACCTCAAATATGGCATCCTACATTAGCTAGGTAAGTTAAAAAAAAATCCTTCAAATTTGGTCTCGGTTAGGTTTGTCTTCCGCAACAACACCAAAAGTGATTTGTCGTCAAAATGACGTTGGAGCGCGCTTTTCTTGGCTCCAGGCTCGGTCAGGACGCCGTAAGTGTTGGTGGTGTACGTGAGGCACATTTTATCTCGGGCGTGCCCAGAAGCGGCCAGGGGCTCCTGTGGGACCACAGCCGGCCCAGCCCGTGGGCGTCTCGGCAGCCTTCCTGGTGGACGTGCAGCCGCAGACGGACGGCTCCGAGGGCCTCAAGTACAACCTGACGGCTGACATCATCGACTCAGTCTTCCGGACTTATCCCGCAGGCACGTGCGTTTGGCCTTCGCCGGGTTCCCAATTCTGGGGCCTTTGTGGGTGGAGAAAATCTGCTGATATTTTGCGGTGTTTGCTCGCTTTGAGCAGCCCTATTCTCCGTTCACCCGTAAGCTGACGGTGTGGTGGAAGCTACGCGCTTACAGGATTATTCGGCTGCCTTCCTTTTGTCACCTGATTTCACTCGTGGCTCGTGGGTGTGGGCGAGGGCATGATGACGTAGCAAAAGATAGACGTACGATTGATCCAATGGCCACGTAGCTTGCGCTGAACTGTCAGCTTAGGGGTGAACGTAGTATAGGGTAAGACAAATTTAACTTGTTCCCTCGCTACAAAGCCATTTTTATTGACTACAGCAGAGCGGTCTTCAGTTGCTATTTCGAGACAAAGCAAATCGTGTTTTGTGTCTGGTCGCCACGTTGCACGTGCGCTCGGCAAATGCCTATGATATTCTTTTTTCTAGGTCACGGTCAATAGCAGAAATGTAATGGGGAACTCGGCTTCTAAAGTTAGGGGGGGATCGAAGTCTTTGTCATTGCCCTTCCTCGACGTGGTACGCACGTAGGCAAAAGGGTGCCGCAGGCGTGACTTGAGTGCTCGGCTTCTCTCGCGATGCAGTGAAGCGGAAACACCTGGAGAACGTTCCGGAGCGGATGACGGAGGCGGAGTTTTGGACGCGCTTCTTCCAGTCGCACTACTTCCACCGGGATCGGCTGCACACGGCTACGCGGGACCTGTTCTCAGACTGCGCACGCAGCGACGATCAGGGTGGGTGCACGCATGACCATTTACTTGCGTCTGGAGCTGCACGTGCGGCGAAAGGCAAGCATACTCTTAAGATGACGAACCATGCGTGTCGGTGGGCAACCATGCCTGGGAAACTCGCCTGGCCACACCCTCCGGGGGTGCCACTGCACTCCCGTCTCTTTTTTTTCCTGTCTACACGCGTGTCTGTTGGCCGTCTGCAAGGCATCGCAAATCATGGGTATGAACCTGTGACCTTCTGCAGTGACCGGACTCCAGAGGTAAAGAATATCGATGCTTGAAAATTGATGGGGCGACCTGTTTTTGAGAACGTTTACTCGCGACTCTGGCGAAATCAATGTCGTCAGGCGCAAAAGCTGCGGAAGTGGGTTCGGTGGCGTCTGCGGTAGCTAAGTGGTGTCTGTTCCAGTGACTCTTCCTGCTTGGGGCATCCTGGCTGTTACCCCTTTGCAAGTCACTACTTCTGCATTTGAGAGACCTCGAGTGGTGTGGGATAAGCTCGGGGTGTTGAAGTAGTTTTGTACCATCCAGGGTGTTGAACTGGTCCAGTTTCGGGTTTGGTTCAACTTTAATCAGGCATGTGATATTTTGGTTTAGTCACTGGTTCCATTAAGCGTAAACCGGTTCACACCGGTTCATAACTCTGCGTTAGACTGTGGCTGCCCAAACATTTTCTGCACTAAACAGAAAGAAAACTTCGTAGCTTCCAGTTGCTAAGAAAAACTGTCTTCAACTTGCATTACCTGTATTAAAATATTCCATAAAAAACTGGTCATCAGAAGCTGTGCCATGCAAACGGGGACATCTGAACAAATGCATGCTTAATTTAATTGTGTGATCTTGACTTTTTATTGATTTTATGCAAATTGCGTGGTCGTACTGGCGCTCAGGAACAGTATCAATAAAGTACGGAACTTACATGCAAGGTCAGTCAGTCAGCATGCTGTACTCACAAACTACCCATCTCAAATGACTTAGTTGAAGATGAGAAAGACAGTGCAAGGCAGTCAAAAGACAATTCAGACAAACGGGGGAAGAACAGGTGAATCCCTGTGTTTGACAAACGGAAAAAGCGAACTTCTTTTTTTTTTTTGTTCTCTTTTTTTTTTTCTGCATTCCTGAGCAGCGTTCAAAACTCTAGGTTATTAGTGTCCCAGCACCCAAGGCCCCTGCGTTGTGCTACTCGTGGCTTTAGTTTGCCTTTCTAGACTTCTCAGTGGCGTCTTCAGTTTTTGCCACCGCAGAACAAGCACACACTGACAGCCCATCGAGCTCCTCCTTTCAGTTTTTATTTTCGCCATCCCTTTCCTTGAGGAGTATTGTTTGGCAGGAACAAATTAAACAAAATTGCTCTTTAGCCTCTTGGCATAATCACTTAGAAGTGTATGCTTCTGCGCCGGCTCCAAGTCGGGCTGCACATAGACGTGAAATTTATTTATTTATTTCATTATTATTTGGCCATCTTTACGTCGCTGCCTTTACTAGGCAAAACTGCTTCGCTTACGCCACTGCCGGAAATGTCAAAATTGGCTTCATGCCACAACCCGCAAAAACGTGCGTGGCCTAAGTTTTCATAATAATCATAACGATGATAATAGCAATTTTTTATGGCTCAGGAGAGCTTAGGCCCACAGTGCCGTGTCTAGTGGTGATGATTATGTGATATTGCCGCACGCGCAGCTGGCCAAATAGGCAGCGCGCGCGTGGCCTAACAGCTATCGTACCTGGCTCCCACGCGAAAGGCCAGGGTTCGATTTTTGGCAGCGCTACATCTTTTGTTATTTCTGCAATTCAGTTTTCTGGTAGATTCGAGAATCATGTTGCGTGTTCGAGGTCCGAATGTTCTACGCGTCGAACATTCTACGCTGATTATTCCAGAAGCTCACGCATGTACATAAGGGGCACCGCGTGGCGAACCGGACTCAGTTTCGCCCCAGCGCTCGATCCTGCGGTTTCGCCGACATCGACGCCCGATACGCCCTCCTGCTTTCTTCTGTTTCCTTTTCCTTTTATTAATTTGGGCACAAGTTCACCCCCATTGAACGTTTAGTTTACTTCAGTTTTCGTCGCCTCATCACTTGTCATCTGTTACAATATACAAGAGAACAACACAGTCTTCTGATCACCGCAAAAACCGTTGCAAAAACTGCAAAAATGTGGTACCATTTTATTATGAACCGCTAACCGCCACATGAGAATGTGGTCTCATTTAGGTTCAGCTTCAATATCAAGTGTTTGATTTCTGTTTTCATTTTGTTCCAGTTAGGGGAAAAGTAACGGCTTTGAGCCGGTTCTCTCATTTAAAATGGAAACTTTAATAACTGCAGCGGGTGACGACTGCCCAGCTGAAGAAAGTTTACTGCCCAGAAGTACTACTTCCTGGCTGTGACATCAATTACAGGGCCCAGCTCGTCAGAGCGCATAAAGACTAGTCGTTCGATGTTGCTTGCTTGGAGCTCGCACTACAATGGAGAGAAGCCTTGCAATTTCTCGCCACAGACTCCCTGGTAGTCCCTTTTGTCGGCAGGGGGGTGCAAGGTTCCTTTTGCAACCCCCTGTCGATACCCATGTGCGCGGGAGGAAAACAAGCAAACTGTCGGGTTGATGCTGCTACTCGTATATTGTACCACATATGCTTAAATCTGCTTTAAGGTGTTAATCCTGAAGAGACTTTCAAGTTTTTGCACCCTGTGGTGCCATACGTAAGTAGCAGCATCAATATTTCCTTCTGTACATATTGCACATATTCCCTCATAGATGGCGCCAATGCATTTTTTTGTCGTAACACATCACAAGAGCTCGGTCCTAGGCTGCCCTAAGCAAACGCGGGTGTGTGAACAGGCTTTAAAGGAGCTGTGCAACAATTTCAGTGGTTTGCTTAAATTATTTGGAAGTTGGTGTCTTAACCTTTCTGAAGTAAAGAACAAAAAACCGCTTTTGCCTGCATGTCCTAGTTTCTATTTTAAAAATGGACAAAGATTAAGGTTTTCGGCACCTCTCAACTCCTTCACCATCTTCCGAGTCACGTGCGCTGTGACGTCAATGGGGGATGCGCAGGGTTACAGTGAAGCTCTCTCTCTAGTCTAGAGCCATCAGTGAGCAGGGAGAACTCACCCGCTCGCGACCACGTGACCACGTCCTTGTGCAGCGCAATCAGCATGGTGAAAGGAGGAAAGCCCCATCCGGGACCGACCATCCTTGTCTGGCACTGCCCCCGTTCCCCTCCGGCTTCTGGCAGCTGTTTGCGGTAGCAGACAGAGTCGACGATTTTGTTGACCTTGGATAGATGGCGCCACTAAAACTCCGTATAATAAAATTTTTGTCGATGATACCATGTTTTTGACGCATTTATATTTATGTTGGAACGACAAGATTTAGAAAAAAATTACCTTTTATCGAGCAGGGTATTCGCACAATTTCCTATCTTTTTACAAGTCCCCCATTGACGACATGCCGCGTGGTTTTCATGGCCGCCGCTCGCGGCTGCAGGTCGGGAAATATTCTAATTTGTGCCTCGCGATTACACAGTAGAACCGCAACATTTCGAAGGAAGAAGATGTGCTTTCTGTCCTTTGTGACAAGATAAACAATGTCAACAGTAGAAGATGCAAATTCTTTCAACGTTAAAATCGTTGCACAGCTTCTTTAACGGTGTGCAGGTGGCATTGGCTAGCAGAGCGATCGCGCCTTCTGCGACGCATCCGAAGCGCAGTGACGTTGGCTGACTTTCGCTCCCGTTGGTTGCAGATGTGAGGGAGGCCCTTGCAGCTGGCTTGGGGGACCCCTTGGTGGACATCTCCTCTTTCCAAGACGTCAACTCGTCCAGCGTAAGCTTGTCCCTCTCAAGGGGGACCACTCTACCTCGGAGGGGCCTCGGAGCTTTCAAGGAAAAGGCTTGCGCCATGCCCGCATGTTGGTGGCAAAAAGACTGAGTCTTTATTGCTATAATGAGCTTGCGGTAATTATTACGTAGCAATTAGTATTGGCAGTGGGCACTGATAACGAAAGGTACCCGATTAACTGCTACCCTTTAATTTATTACAGTTAGAGGTTGATGTAACAAGCTTCAACATAAAAGATTTAACAAAGTATCACTCTTTTTATAACTTCTTTTCCATAAAGCTTGTGTATTTTTTTTTTTTTTTGCCATAGTCAATTCCTATTTCAATATTGCGAGGTGTTGGCTCCTTAGAAGAAAAAGATATAGGCTCCAAGGGAGTATTTCGCGATTGAATGAAGGTATTCAAGAAAATTTTCTACAACCGCAAGTGCTGGTAATTTTTTGTATAATTATTTGCACATAACCCTTAATCCAATACACTATTAAGCTAGCATCACCACACAGCTCCATTTTTCCTAATTAAAATTGTCATTAATCTTACATGAACACACTGCAGAAAACACACGTAAAGCATAAAGTATTAAAAAAAAAAAATTTTAAGGAGACAAAAAGGAATATAAGTTCTGATGTTCCTATTGGCTATTCACAGAAGATTGGGGTTGTTAAAGTGTTTTTCGTATTTACCAGTTGTGAAGAGTGATAATATTCTGCTGAGAGGTAGTTTGATTTATCAGAAGTGGTCATTTCCTCAGAACCGATGCATTTAAACTTTCTTACCATTTAAGACTCACAAGTTCCTGGAAAGGACACATAAGGCAGGTTCACAGATTTGTGTCGGTTGCGTTTGCAGCACCCGATGCGACAGCGACGACAAAGTCACCGGGACAAGTGTATGCCATGCGAACGTGGCAAGCGAAGCAAATGTTAGCTTCGCAAAGCAATCTTGAGTCACGGCTGTTCCAGTGTTCAGGTTGTTTCTGTCGTTTTGGGTATTGTGAGCGTGAACGTCACGAATGTGTGAACCAGCCTTTATTGTCACAAAACTCTCCCTTAAAAAAATAACTAAAAAATATTTTGAAACATGCGAGACATCTTTTTTTAAATGGAAGCATTTTTAAAATCACTCAAATGAGTGTCGGTATATGAATATTGCACATTTTTTCTTTTCTTTTTTTTTTTTAGAGGGGAGGGGGCTGGGGGTTATTTTTTGGCATACGTGCTGCTCTTTTAGAAAATATGTATTTTGGAAGTTTAGCATCGATGCTGAGCCTTGGGTTTGTGCACCAATGATAGGGAGCCAAACTCCTGCACATTTGTGCCTGAACTTTCTCCGCAATACAAAGCCTGCTGACCGCCCATGACCGCCACGTGTTCCTGACTTCGGACATCGACAATCGTACACAATAGACCGATTTCGCCAGCAAGTTTGACTACGCCACTGCTGCCGCAATGCATCGAGGGAACTTTAGTCTTTCTGCACGTGCGACTACCTCGCTGGAGCTCTGCAGGTGTAGAGCACGAGACGGCACGAGCCGCCTCATGCACTGCAACTTGCCTCCTGTGAGCTAAAGTTATGGCGGCGTCATGCATGCGCTGAATGCTTGGTGAGACCGGTGTATTAGTTTATTTTAGTTTTAGATTTGTTATCCCCCAGCTTTTTACAGTTGTCCCGTCTTCTTACACACACCACCAAGACTCCTGAACCTTGACTTTTTTTTTTAATTTTAATACCCCAACTATTTTTTATGACCTTTAAATCTTCTCCCCCCTCGCCTGTGCAAGTCTTGCTCCCTACTAGGTGTTTGAGAGCACGAACAGGCGTTTACCTTCGTGTTCTGCTCCCCACCTGAGTAGATGCATGCAATTCGGTCATAGTCGCCACAATGCCCCGAGAGAAGACTTGCGAGGTAGCTTACAACTCGTGCGGCAGTCATGTTTCTAATGCGACGACACGCGCGACCAAAAGAGTCCAAAGATTTGCGAGTTCACATTCTCACGTTCGAGTCGAGGCCGGAGTACCCAAGGTCTTCGCCATCATGACCGGAGACTCTTGTTTCGGTAGCTTTGGTAGGGGTACGTCGTTGCTGACGCAAAAGCTCGTTGGCCCAGTTTTTTTACGCTTCCGAAGCCGCGAAGCCCCTCTCGAAGGAACACCTTCGTCGGCGCTTCAAAAAAGGTGCCGTCTATGCGTAACCGTCGGGTTACAGCGCCTGGAACCTGTCTCCGACTGGCGCGCTTACTGCGTCCAAAGAAAGCGGTCCCTCGATTTCCGCTCGACGACGTCTCAGAAATGTCACGTTGTCACCGGCCACAGTCCTGGTGGTGTCGCAGCAGCGGTGGTGTAGGTAGCAGACGCCTGTTCTGCTGCAGGTCGCTCTCCAGCTTGACACCACGACGACACCGACGCTCACATTCCCTTACGCTTTTTTTTCACAACTTGTACAGCCAACTGCCAGGGTCGCAACTTCCGACATCACGACACCCCGGCTTTCGTGAGGTCATTCGTTGCCTCTTCAAAACCACTTTCAGGGAATGGGAGGTTAAACGCGCCGGTTGGAGACGCGTTTTAGGCACCGTAGTTGCATTGAGCGCCACCCAAAAGTGTGATCGAGCGTGCGCGTAACGACGGGATTGAGGACCACAGCCGTGCCCGGTCGGGGTGCAGGGTCGGGAGTCCCCCAACTGGCAGGGCGCTGCGGGTGCCACGGCCAACCAGTCGATGATCCGGCGCTTCAACCACCACTCCATGATGGTGCTCCGGGCGTGCGGACGGGAGGGTGCCCTCGGCTGTGCGGCCGACCCTGCTGCCAAGAAGGTGGGTCCCCTCCTCGCTCGACGTTGCCAGTGTCCGTGTCGTCGTCTTTGTGCCCCAGTTTTCTTGCTCTCGAGCTCGTAGAGGATTGCCCGTACGTATCCTGTTCTGCGTGTCGGCTAAAGCTTTGCATGCCAGGCCGTAGGTCTCCAAGAAGCTTTGGCTGAGCCCGTGCACGGCCAAACCTTCTTGGTACAATCGTGCTTCGTTAATGCAGAAACCCCACCATACGGACGGAAATGTTGGGGACAAACTGGGGAAATGCGTGTGTTTCTTTTTTATTTAAGAATAAACTCTCGTTTATGATTGATTTTGGGGGGAACAGAGATGTCAGTACTAACAAAACATGGCCGTAGTAATATTTAAAAAATACCGACACCCCCCAAAAACATTTTTTTTGCTAGGCAATTTAATATAATGGCAGGACATAACCCAATCAGTATTTTGGTGCATTCACGTACCTAAACCATGGGAATACAAAGTCTGCAGATGCGGTTACAATTATTTAAAAACATTGCGGATGCAGTCCGGATACAGATGTGAAGTCTGCGGATGCCGATCAGATGTGGATAATCAAACTGTTATCCGCGCAGGGCTCTTACTACCATTTCAATGTTGACTGCCACGCCACACATTGCCTGATGCGCCTGTGTTTGTCAGTGTCTGAACCGAGCTGAACAGTACTGTTCCGGTATGATGTTGCCTTTCGAGCCTTGTACAAGTTTAAGCCCTTTCTCATTTTGCTGAAGATTCCAGGAAAGTACCTGTACAAAAGCATCTTCTCATGGTTACAAGTTACTAAAAATTATGCCCAAGATACATTTACTGAAAAAACGTTCGAGGACACCTAAGCACTTCTTATGAGTTATGAATGCGAAAGCATGAATGTTATTCTTCTGCTCCCTTAGTTCGTCTGTGGTGTAGTGGCGTGGACGGCCGAGTCCGCGCTCTTGTGAAGTGGCCGCGCCACAATGAGCTCGGCTGTGCAACCTCTTTGGAGTTTTCCCAAGCAGGCTGTGTTGCCAGGCCCGCACTGCCGCACCTCTTACTGGTGACCGGGTTGCCGCGCGCTCTGTGCCGCCATGGAGAGGGCTTCTCTGGTGGCGTCCCTTGGAACTACGCCGCGTGAGAGCTAATGGCAGCCTCATTCCTTGATGACGCGCGTCAGCCATCAGATTTTTGCTACAGACGACAGGTTTCGCTCCATTGTGTGGGAAATCGCCTACCGCCGCCGATACGCCAGATCCTATGTGGTCCGTCAAACAACCCGAGTCCAGCCTGGTTCTTTCACGGGAGCGGGATACCGCTCCCTTTTATTGGTTCACAAGACACAACGCTCAAAACACTTAGTTTCAACTACAAAGACATGCAACATTACACCAATATTCACACTCGCACGTAAAATAAGCTAAACACAAAGAGGGCCCCCAGGCCTCGTGTCCCGCGATTACCTGAGATCGATCGCACACACTTGCCTGTTCTCGGTACCATTCGGAGTCCCAAGAGGCTGTTCACCTTTTGGTCCACCGTCTATATCTCGTGTGCGAGAAGGTTTCTCCTCGCCCGCCCTGGGCGCCTGCAGCTCCATCCAGTAGCTAGGAGAGAAAGCGGCACGTCGGTAGCCGAATTCGAGATCCCGATCGACCCCGCGGCGACACTACCACGTGATCGTGTCTGAAGCGAGGCAATTGCATAGCTGCCTCGCGGCAACGATGCCAGAGTGGTTTGATGGGCGCTCTCGTGAATGCACGGTGCGCCATAATTGGGACAGGGGAAGGTGCCGTTTGGTGTGGCTTCAAAGCTGATGACGTTGGTTTGCTCCATGGGACCAGTTAATGCTTTCGCATTAATAAAAGTAACTAGATTTTCACCTCAGATACATGAAAGGTATCTAGCCCATTTTCACCTCAAGAAAAAAGGAAGTTTCGCAGATTGTTCATACGCTGCACAAAGTAGTTCTTGCAAGATTTAATTATCGGAGGAAGAAGCTATGCTTTTGGCGGCTGAAACGTGTACATCTTGATAAGATAGCACTTATCTAATCTAAAATGCACCTATTCCTCTTTATTCTCATCATAAAAGGGTAATTTAGTTATGCTCCGCGAGGAGCCGGACTTTTCTTGCTACAACTCTTAAGGTGAAAACGAGTATAGTTACTGCAGGTTTATTCTAAGCCTAGTGGGCTGGCAGTAGGCCTCACGGTATGAACTTCATGCGAGCCCATCCAGAGAGCCACGGGTCAGACAAAGACTGCAGCTGACAAGCAACGACATTGTTTTACTCGTGCCAAGGAGCTGCAATTTATTTGAGCCAAGAGGATGCCTTTTGCTGCCCAACATAGCAGTCACACAGCCAGTGACCTCTGCACTCACCAAGGTGCGCTTACTTGTACCTATTGTAGTATACCGTGCAAGCGCGTCAAAAATAATCGCTAACAAAAATGGTGGATGGTGGATGGATGGGTGGATGGTGGATGGGTACGAGAGCAGAAAAAAACCTAGAAGTTTTAAAGCAGCCACGCAGCTCAAGTTAGCCTGCTCTACTTCAAGCTTTGCCCCTTTACGCTTCCGTGCACCCTTAAAGTTTCACTGTTCTGCACTGGTGCACATGTTCAAAGCTTCTGTGTTTGTAACTCGTCTGATCAGAGAAGTGACTCGCGTGAAGGAGCATGTCGACTAACTCGGTGGTCTTGGAAGTTTGCTAAGGTGGGTGCTTGATATGTCCTTCGCTTATATTTCGAACGTTTAAAAGGCAGAAGTGCGGAATCGCAATTTGGCGCGAGGACGCGTGTTTGACTACAGTGTCGGTGCGTGGCTTTACCGACCGGAGACGGTTTCCTGAGGACTCTGCGTCGACTTTTAAACTGACGAATCTCGGACTTACGGTGCCTGGAATGTGTCTCCAACTGGTGTGTTTAATGTCCTACTCCGCCCATGCATCGAAAGTAGTCCCTTTGTAGCAGCAAATCACTTCATCAAAGCTGGAGTGTCGTGCAATCGGACATCGCAGTCCTGACGGTTCATCGTAGAAGTTCTGACCTTCCACTCTAGCGGCATTTCTCCGCAAACAGATTTAGCAAACCAGTACTGGGCATTCAATTGCTAGGGCGCAAGGGAGTAAGCACTCTCCACATGCAGTGCCTGTGGATTCGGCGCTTTCCTGGATGTGTCACACAAGTCGCAGCTGCATATCCGACACTTCAATGTTGTCCGCCTCTCTCACTCTTTTGTTTGTTCAGTCTCGGGATTTCATAGGACCTGTACCAGCTCGTGCATCTCATTACGTCTACGTTCTATCCAATCCTCAGCTTCCGTACGGAAGTGGGCCTCACAACTACTGTACCTGGAACGCTTCTCCAGCTGGTGCGTTTGGCGTCTTACGCCCATGCGTCAAAAGTGGTCCTAAAGTGGCAACAAATAACCCCACAAAAGCCGGAGTGTCACGCTGTCGGATGCCGCGGTCCCGGCGATTGAGTGTAAAAGTTCCGGGAAAATGACACGAAAGAAAGCGATTGTCGCCATTGTTGCGGCATTTTAAGTCCGAGCTGCGAGAGCTCCCGTGGACCGTCAAGCTGGAGAGCAACCTGCAGCAGAACGAACATCTGCTACACCTACCACCGCCGCTGCGACACCGGCAGAATCGCGGCCGGCGACAGCAGGACGCTTGTGTGACGTTATCAGGTGAAGGTGGAGGTACCACTTTTTTGGATGCAGTAGACGTACCAATCGGTGACGCGTTCCAGGCAACATACCGGCGTGGCGGGGCCCATGTTTGAGTGAGGCGTCCGACTTCCTGCAGGCCCGACTGTGGGACAGGGCGCGCCTGGAGGACCTGGAGGGTGTCACCAGCTCCACGGGGGGCGCCACCGTGCGGTTGGGGCACGGCGAGAGGCACCAGCGGGGTCCCACCCCGGGCAGCAATGGCCCTCCGTGCGACGGCCAGGCGTCCGCCCAGGCCCTTCGCAGGCAGTTGGCCCAGTGGATCCCCTCAGGACGCTCGGTGAGCTGCTTCCAGTTTCGCTCACACGTGTACATCTGCTCGAAGTTCATTTCATTTTCTATTACCCTTAAATCACTAATTTCTGGGCTTTGCATAAAGGAAGGGGGTTGAAGTTAAAGAGAAGCAGTTACACACACAGATTACAGTTCAGCGTCTGGCCAGGTCATATGTTTTAAGCGCGTCTCTGAAATCGTCTGTGTTGGATACGGGGGGATTGATGGCCGAGTGGACTAGTGCAGTGAAGATCGAAGCACATGGATGAAAAGATCACACTGTAGAACCCAGGGATCCTGGGTTCAATCCCCACCCCTGCTCGTTTCTATTTGGATGAGCATTGTACCGGCGTGCAATCGTGAATCACTACTGTGTGATGCACACTAAAGACCTTAGGCTAGCAGTGGTTCCGCTCTGGCTAAATTTCTCTTCTACAGCATAAACGAATGTCGCTGCACCTCAAAGGCAGGCTGACCTTATGTTGTAAAAACACAGATGTTAAATTTAGTTTTGATGGTGCTAGGTATACCTAGTACCAATGCTATCGGATAGCCTATTCCACAATGCGGCTCTTTCGTCGGCACTTTTGTGGGTTGCCTGGAAGGAGCATGCTCCACTCTTCCAAACTCCCACAAAATCTTTTTTAAGCGGCTGGATAAAACGCTGGTGCTGAATTTAGGTTGCAAGACTGGTTTGGAGCAATTCTGAAAGGTGCATTTATTTTGGGACGTTGTATTAATCGACATTGTCCGTACCACAGTTTAATGCTCATATACCAGTAATACCTGAAAGACAGTGTGCAGGCTAGCTGGTGTCAGACACAGGAGGAGGAGGACACTGCCTGTGGCACAGTTAAGATTCGAATCAAAAATGGAAGCTTTTGACAGGCACAGTACTCTCAACCAACACCTGAAAAATTCGCGCCGAAGCCGATCCTCTGAAGTGTTAATGACATGGAGACAAAAGCAACACCCCGCAGCTTGCCTGCAATGCCGTTTGCACCTGCTGTCGGGAGTACTCCTTCTGTACTAAAGACTGTTGGTGAGCTCCTTTCCCGAAAAGGCCATTTGAGGGGAAAGGGCATTTACGGTGCTGTGTGGCACGCTCTTCCCCTTTTGGGAGGAGGGCCATTCTATCGAAGGATCTTAGGTCTGACAAGAGTGTAACGATTTTGACGGAACATACTTTGTTTCCTGTGTTCATCGGAGAGAGCAGTTGCACTCAAACTCATTCGAGACACTCGACGCAAACCCGCTAACTACGCACATTGCCCCTTCGAATTCAAGTATCTCGCGTGACCTACCACCAGCCATGCTCTACAATCAGATTAAAAGAAAGAGCTTTAGCTGTAGGGTACTTTCAGTCCTTTTATTCATAACATGCCAATTAATCGCAACCACGGTAGTTGTATCCACCTCGTCCACTAACCTGCAGCGTCCAGAGAGCTGCCGTGACAGGTTGGCACAAGATGTTGCTCAATTTTAGGGGTAGCCGTATTCGTCTGTCGCTCCAGTGCATAACCGCCAACACGTCATGTGCACCGTACATGCACATAGATCAACGTTACTGGAACAACTCAGTTGGGAAACCACCATAGGAGCCTGCTTTGAAAAAGTGACTCCGATCCGTATTCCAGAACCGAAATAAAGGCAATTGCAACGCCGCCATTGCTCCCTCAGTAAGCACTTCGAGAACTGGACAGTTGCATGTATTGGTTCAGGTCCAGTCGCACAAGGGCTAGGGGTGCCATCGCGCAGTGCCATTTCACAGTAGCTATATAAATCAGCTGCCATGTTTTGACTCGTTGCTGAAGAGCAGCGCCGTTATCAAATCCAGTTTGGTCTCGGCGAATGTGAGCGGTCTGGGTGTCAAAGGTGAGTTTCCCAATCGAGTGTTTTAGTAATGTTGACGTAGATGGATGAATAGATGGATGGGGCAAGCGAGTGAGTGAACGGGTGGACGCATTGTTTAGGTGCACCTCGGTTTGTCATTACCACGTGGTCATTAATGCCGCTTTATAAGTGCTCTTCACTCTATACCACCTGCACTGTTTTGGAAAAGAAATGTGCTAACAATTTTTAAGGTAAGCAGTGTTTTAATATTTGCATTCATTTCAGATTTGACAGTTTGGCCCCTATTCGGCACTATTTTGTTCAAATTCAATTCAATCGAAATTTTCACTTTTTGCATGCCCCCTAAATTCTTAAAAAAACTGCCTTCCAGTGTTTGAGAGAAGTTGTCTCTTCCGCTCATACGATTTCAGTAGGGGCATTTGGGGTCCGCATGCTCATTTGGTCATGCTTTGCAGATGCTCCCGGCGTCTGCCGCCTTGTCCGTTCTCGGTGAGCTCTCGCCCGGCGGCTCTCTGATGAAGAACGCCCAGCAGATGCCCCTGAAAGGCAAGTGCTTCTAGAGAGAGGCCCACTGGAAGCCGTCCCTGCTGAGATGGTCGTTCCTTTGCCGTCGGCTGGGCTTCAAATCTTAGAATTCGCAACTGTTGGCTGTCTTGCTCAACTTTCCAATCCCTCCAAACTACGTCATCTATTACCTTTCTCACTCTACTCGCCAATTCGACTCCCGTGTCTCGATCGGACTGCTCTAAGCAGCCAGTTTCGTACGCCAGTTTAGCGGTTGCTGTATGGTGCAGAGCACGCGGGCACTTTTAGTTTTACTCGTTTGAGAACACATCATTCTTAGGGCTCCCGTTAGGTGCCAACGGCAGTCACCGTACATTAGTGCTTCCTTTGCACATTTGCCTCAATTGGTGTTCTTGTTCTTATTTGTCGCATTTGCAGGTGTTTGTGCGGGTTATCTCAATAGTTTGTAAGGGTAGCGGGTAACCGTCTCCATCTACAGCTGTGGCGGGACCTTTATAATGTGAAATGTTAGTCAGTCTTTCTCGCACAAAACGAGAACATTTAAACGGATGTCAATTTGGGTCGCCGTATTCGATTGAGAACTGGGTGACCCGACCTCACCTGCTTGCCGCGTGAATGGCCGGTCACTGGATTCTACGGAGACGACATGATGCGGGCAACGCCAGGCCTTGAAACGGCTGTCTGTGCTGCAATGCCTGGAACACAGAGACGGGTGCGTTCAGCATCCTAATCCGCCCATGCATCCGAAGTGGTCCCAAAGTGGCAACAAATGACGTCACAGAAGTTGGAGTGTCACGCTGTCGGATGTCGCGATCCTGGCAGTTGGGCGTAGAAGTTCTGGCAAAAATCACGAGTAAATGCGAGTCTCGCCGTCGTCGCGGCATCTCAACCCCCGGCTGCCGAAGCGTTCGTGGACTGTCAAGCTAGGGGGAGATCTGCAGCAGAACGGGCGTTTGCCATACCCACCACTGCTGCTGTGACACTGCGAGGGTCGTGGCTGGTGACGGCGTGACACCTCTACGATGTCATCGGGTGGAAATTTAAGGCCACGTTTCGCATACGGTAAACACACCGTTCGGAGACATGTTCCAGGCATGATACGAGCATTTGGGCACAATGTCAGGATGCTCAAAAATCTGGGGCAGGCTGCATTATCAGCGCCCGGCAAAGTCGGTGCTTCGTCACCAACCGGTTGCCCTTTATGCGCTGCGACGACTGATTACACGCCGGCGGCGTGAAGGGCACATGTAGAGACCTCGGTAGTAAAAGGGCTGTCTCACTTGCGCCCGATTTCAGTGTGCAGCCAGCGACATCGTTTGACTTTGGAAATGTTTTTCCAGACACTGTGAGCGTGGAGCTGCAGCGGGACCTGCGACGCATATACGTGGCCCAGTACGAGCTGCTGCGGCACTTCTGGACCTGCTTCCCCACCACCAGCGCCCAGCTCGAGGACAAGGTAGCCGGGGCCGTCCCGTGGCCGGAGACGAGAAACGGTTGGGTAGAAGATTCCGCGCCAAGAGAGGCGTCGAAAAGAGTGCAACGGCGTTATTGCAAAACATGTGGCGACGTCCCCGGTATAAACGGCGGTGTGAACGAGCGAACGAAAATCGGCGGCGTTGGCATGCCCACCTTGCAGTTAAAACACGCGTCGAGTGACAAACAATTGTCACGCGACACCTTGCCTCGCAACGTACCGAGTGCACTCGGAGCTTTGGATGTTCTCGGCGACGTCTCCTCGCAGTTCAGTCGTGCTCCCATTAGACGGGAGCCCAAATGGTGCTTCCGTCGGGCCAGGCAGAGAAGTCAATTTTTTCTAACCGGCGACTCGACAGGTGGACCCTCGCGTCATTGGTAAATGCGGCGTAGAGTTTGTGACGTTAGACCTCGGGAGTTGTTTCCCAGTCCACTCAATTTTAGAGACGAGTAATTGCACAACACTAAAGTTCTTTAAAGCTCTAATTATAATTTCCTCGCTGTTGACCTTCCGATCCATTATATGCGGAATATGTTTAGTATCGAGATGAAGCGTTGCAGTCGTTCTTGCACAAATGTTTTCCCCGATCGGCGATGGTTACAACATTGTTTTGTTGCAGTAGACGTACTGCACCGACTGTAGTCACCCAGTGAGAGTATACAATATCTAGGAAAAATACTTACGCCATTCATAACCTCATATTTGTGGACTTTGTCGACCACCATTTTCCCACTGATAATTTCCAAACATCGCTTATAACCTTTAGCTCGGATAATGGGAAACTTGGAAACTTTGCCATTTGGTCCGAACCGCTAGCTCTTTATTTGGCAGAGACCGAGTTTATGGCGATACAAACGTTTATTTGTGTAGTGTAAGAAACATACCTGGAGTTGTCAAATAGCGCCTGGTTTCGAGCACACCCACCGAGTGTGCCGGTGCGAGTCTAAACTCGTGCTGCCTGGCGTGTTTCTCTGGTGCAGGTGGTGAGCATGCGAGCCACCCTGGAGCGCTTTCAGTATGCCCAACTCCAGCCGTTTCGGGACCGCTTGCTCCGAGAACACCACTGTCCCGACGTAAGTTACCACCCAAATTCGGCGGACAACCCCCACGTACAAATGGGGCACAGGTGGCGTGCAAACGCGGTCGAATTGTGCCGTCAATTGTGGCCAAGGCCGTTGCTGTGGCGTTGTCTCGTCACAGGATGAATCTCGATTTGTGTTGTTACTGTCCAAAGGTTGAAAGCTGGGCTAGTTGGTGATCGTTGTACATAATGGAATAAAACAGCGCGAAGATAGAAATAGGAAGAGACACACCAGACAGGACAGAGCGCTGACTCGCAACTACGGCTTCTTTACTCAACGACAAAGAGAAAGAAAAAAGATAAAATTATACAGGAAAAGAAGAAGAAAAAAGAAGAAAAAAAGTCATTACTGTACGCAATCACACGCGCACCTTTCACCCATGGTAGCTGACTACGGCACGTGCTGGACCCTCATTGTCAACTTCAGGAATTCCAGCTCCTTGCCTGACAACGCCACTGATGCTGCGCTGATACACTTTTTTCCTTGACTCTGGATGTGGAAGGCCTCCAGCACCTCGCGTGTCACTTTGTCCCTGTGTCGTCCTAAGATGGTGGTGGCACTAAAAAACGGCTCGCACAGGCACTCTTTGCAGTGAACCGATAGGTGTCCTCCCACTGTCGCTCCGAGGGAGTACCTGTGCTCGCGGAGCCTGTCATTCAGGCACCGTCCCGTTTGTCCCACGTAGGTGGAGCCGCACGAGAGGGGGATACTGTAGACTACTCCCATGGCACATGGGACGAACGGCCTGGCGTGCTTCTTGCTACACTTGTTTCTGGCGATTCCCTCTGCCTTCGCATGAACTCTGGGGCAGATCTGGCTCATTTTTTCTGGTGCGGAGAAAACCACTGGGATTCCATATCTTTTTCCAACATTTTTTAAATTGTGAGAGATCCTGTGCAAGTACGGGATAACTACAGGCCGCTTGCGTTCCACATCTCGTTGTGTAGACTGGCTACCCTTTACTTTCTTCAGCAGTTTGCTTGCGACGTCTGAAAGTAGTGCCGTCGGATAGCCAGCTTTCCTCAGTCTTTCTTTCTGTATCCTAAAGCTCTCCCCCAGAGTGTGGAGGCAAGATTTTTTGAGCGCTGAGAGACAAGATGTAACGATGCCCCTCTTCACAACCTTCGAGTGGGCCGACCTGCAGTCGAGGATGCCTTTCTTGGATCGTGGACGATAGGTCCAGCAGACACGCGAGTCTCCTATGCGCAGGGAAAGGTCCAGGTACTGGAGTATCCCTTCTTTTGGGACCTCAAAGGTAAACCTAAGGCCTCCCCCACACTTCTCGAATACCGCCACCACTGTGTCAACCAACGCTTCCAATGTTCCAGATCTTCTGAAAAACACCAAAAAGTCATCCACATAGCGAATTATCTTGATAATACTCGTGCCGCCTAGCTCTCTTTCAATGCCACAGTCCGCTTCACCGAGGTAAATGTCACTTAAGACGGGGGCTACACAAGAGCCGATGCACACACCCGACTTTTGTCGGTAGCACCCTTCCTGCCACCCGACTACCATTGACTGCAGATAGAATAACAACAACTCCAAAAAGCTTTCCAGGGATACTCCACCAGAACTCCTAAAAGCCAGTTCTCCATTGGCTTCGATGCACCCTTTCACTGCTTCCAGCAATCTGTCGTGCGGCAAGGAGTAAAAAAGATCTTCCACGTCTATACTACAAGCGTGCCTCATCTATGGACCCTCTGCTTCGAGGTACTCTACAAGCTCCAATGAATTGAAAACCCTAAAATGGTCATTGATATTCAATGCTGATAACTGTTTTTGTAGGTAGGAGGCCACCTGCCTTTGCCACGATCCCTTTTCCGTGACAATGGCTCGAAACGGGCACCCTTCTTTATGGGTTTTGGCGCTGAAAAACGCTTGCAGGTGTACATTCTCCGCTTTTCCTACTCTCACCGCCAGCTGGGTTAACGCCAGGCGATCACAAAGTCCTTTTGCCCTGTCTCGAAGTTTCTTCAGATCCACATTGACCGGTCTGAAATTTTTCTCAATGGCCGCGTTTGTTACTGTCACCAACATGACTAGGCCAGCATGATGGCCTAGCTCTTTTGGCATTTGCATCCTGCAAAAGGACTTGGGTGAGGGAACGGGGGAAGGGGGGGGGGGGGAGAGAGAGAGAGAGGGAGGGAGGGAGGGAGGGAGGGAGGGAAGGAAGGAAGGGGAGAATTTGAGCAAAACTACCCTGGTAAAATGGCCATTTCCGAGTATTTTGTACGCAATTCAAGTTCCCTACTGCCCAAGGTAAACAGATAAATATAGAAATAAAATATTTCCACCGCAGCAAAGGCGAGCTCACAGAAACAGCATCACTAACTCTGCATTGAATCGGCACAAGAGTGTGTTTCACTTTATGTGCGAGGGAAGCAGGTGCTACAGTGGCAAGCGTGCTGCCCAGAACACACTTATACGTCACTTAAATACTCTACCGAAATGACTCTATCATAGATTTGGAACTAACTTGGTGTCTTGCAAACACTCTCGTTGACCAGTGTAGTACTTACGAGCAATACAATAGTTTCTCAAAAGCTAGTTACGTTTTTTTTTTTTTTCAAGAGGAGAGTAGGTGGGGAGAAAATAAAAGAAAAGGTGAACTTCAATTGTTTAGGTTAAGCACTTTGCAAGGGTGCACGTTTGGACTCGGATAACCCGAGCACACCCACGGTTGTGCGGAGAGGGAGAGTCTGTCAAAGCAGGAGTCTCCGCTTCAGGGCTGGGGAATGCGCGTCTCCTAACAGTGCAGAACATGAAACGACTTCCGACCATTCATTTAGGACAATGTGCTGGCCAGACTGGGGTAGTTGGATTCTCTACCACATTTTGAAGAGGGGTCTGGGGATGAACGCAGGGTGTGTCTGCAAACCGAGGAGGATGCCGGGGAGGACAACAAAAGTGCAGTGGACAAAAGTCCACTGCTACCAGTCTTTCTGCAATCTTCATCCACAATCATGGGGGAGGTGGGAAGAGGCGGTAGCGAGGGAAGGAGAGTGGCAAGAGGGAGTCTTTTCTCTCGATTAGGGGGGAATTGCAAGTAGTAACAGCTGAGCTGTTTCCTCAAGTTGAAAAAGCTTCTTAACAATGGCGCTTTTTTTTTTTTTTTTTTATTATATAGTTTTGCCACTAGTTTAAGTGTGGTTTCGATAACAAATCGTAACTTGAAACTATTTTAAGGCTAATGAGCTATTTTTATTTTTTCAGTATTTAGTACTCTACTCAAACGCCTGTCAGAATTAGACATTCAGTACTTACTCAGTTACTTTTGTCCTGGTACTGCGTAACCTAAATACGGGTATTTTGTACAAGAGTGGCCCTGAATGATGCTTGCACTGTTCGAGCCCATGTGCTATGTAGAAATGTCGAAAGCCCGGAGCTCACTCTTGTAGCTTCTACCATGCTCATGCACGAAGTGAATCTAAACAGAGGACCAGGGTCGACTTAGCGTGACTCACACCAAAGCAGTAGTGTTTTCTCAGCAGTCCCATTATAGCACAGTGCCGCACTAAAATCAACACAGATTTTGCATCCCGCTATAAGTCCGAACGCGTCTTCACTGTCGTCTCGGGGTTATTCACACCCTTAGATCCTGGGGATATCTCCCTCATGTGAAGACTCCTAACGTCGGCTCTGCCGCTCGTTCAATCTCGTGATTCGTCATACGACACAAACTCAGTAGCTACGTTCAACACCGCGTGCGCAAAGTCCACAAGCATGGCCAAAGAAAGCGACAATGCACCCTTTTGTTGCATGCCTTCCCCTTTTCCCACCTTTATTTGAGTGAGTATGTTGTGCTGGAGTATTGCAAGTTGCAGTGTTAGCCAGTTGACTGCTTGCCCAGCCAGAAAGAAGCCTGCGGAGCGCTGCATGGCCGCCTTCCTTGCAGCTGGCAGACCACCTTGACGACCTGCTCCAGGCAGCCTACGCCAAGTACAGCAGCTGGCAGTCGCGGCGGCTGTCCCTGGGGCGCAAGTGAAGACCACCTCCGCAGCCAGACGGCCGAGCATCGCCTTTGTGCAGGGTCTGGCAAGCCGCCAAGGTGGCCCCTGTGCTCGAGAGAGCCGTGGTGTCTGCCCAAGAATACACAGAAATTCGACGAGTCAGCCTGGGTCTCAATAACTAACTAAGGGTGAAAAGTTTGTGGGGATGTCAAGGCCGGTTTACACACACGGCGCAAAGTCGGCGCTGCATCAGTGCTGCATTGCGCGTGTGAACTATACTCGTTTCCACCTCAAGAACCATTGTAAAAAAAAAAGTACAGCTTTTCGTGGAGCATTACTAATTTCCTTCTTTATGCTGAGAATTGAGGTATGTGTAGGTGCATTTTAGATTAGGTATGTTACCGTCTGCATTTCAAACGCCAAAAGCATCGTTCCCGCCTCCGACAACTAAATCTTGTAACAATTACTTCATGCGGCGTATGAACATGGAGCAAAACTTCCTTTTTTCTTGAGGTGAAAACAGGCATAGAAAAAGCAAATTCGCAAGCAGTCAAGTGCCGATACAGCGCAGGTGTAGTGTAAAGTCTGCGATGCATCTATAGTGCCAGATTACCGCTGTGCTGAACTCGCAAACAGGCCTTTGACAGCGCACGCAGCAAGATTAGTACCTATCCTTCGTATTCTTTGATGCAGTCATCGTTTCAGGGCCCCTAATAATTGGCGTCGGGGGCTGGCACACTGCATTTGCTAAGTGACCCACTCAAAATGCATAGGGTTACTCGTGCTTGCTGCTGCAAGGGCCCGGGGCCATTGATTGCGTGCCCTCCAACAATCCTGTTTAGAACTGTGCGACACAGGCTGTAACGAGTTTTTACGGAAGACACTCTGAACATTGCAAAACCTCGAGACATGGCCCTTTCTGTGTTTTGTCTCTTTCCCCACTTCTCCCCGTAATCTTTTCTTTCACTCTGCTAACCAGCACGGGGAATTTCAACATGTCGCCGAGGTGAGTAGACATTGCATTCAACTGAACACATGGGCAGTTCCTGCGCAACGCTTGCCAAGACCTGAGGCTGCCCAGCGGAACGACGTACCCGAGCGGCGGAGCGGTCAGTACGCAGCCCGCACGGAAGGCTTGAGCAGTCGCATGACGAAGCGCACGATCTTCTCGTAGGCGACGAACATGAGGGCCGCCGTGAGCACCGTCTGCCACAGCTTAGCCTCCAGGCCCCGGTACAAGCCGGCGGGACCCTGTGTGCGCGCGATGTGCAGCAGCAGGCCCGCGAGGCCCTTGTCGGCCTCGGGGCAGCCGTAGCGCAGCTTGGCCTGGACCAGCTGCAGCGGGTAGGTGGCCACGGTCGAGATGACCTTGGAGAGGGCGCCGATGGCAAACACCACGGCCCCGCTGAGCGGCAACTGCGCGTCGGCCGCGCGTCGCTTGAGCGCTTCGTACACCATGAACTGGACGGCAGGGCTGGACACGAGCACCAGCGACGGCAGAGTGCTTGCCCAGAGCGCGGCCAGGCCCTCGGTTCGCGCGATGTGACGCAGCCCGTGCCAAAGGCCCTCGTAGCGGGGGTGCCTGCGGAGGCTGTCTCCCGCCAGGACCTTGGCGCCCTGCATCTTTATGCGGGTGTTGACCACCCACAGGGGCGTCGTGGCCAGCACGTTCACGACGCCCGCCACCGATGCCAGGAAGAGATCCGAGAGAGCGCTGTGGCCGCCGGCGGCCGTTACGCTCCGCAGACCGTGGAAGCTGTAGAAGTACACGAAGTTGGAGCACCAGAGCGACGTGAGCACTGGACCCAGGCCGCGGTACACGCTGCCGGGGCCCTCGTCGGCGACCAGTTCGCGCAGCAAGACCAGCGTGCCTTTGGGCTCGCGGCGTTCCTCGACTTGCAGGCGCGACCGGACAGTGTCCAGGGGGAAGAAGACGGTCATGGCGACGGCACTGCCGGCTGCACCGGCCACGGCGTGCACCAAGGTATCGTACGTGAGCAGGTTCTCCCAGCGGATGAGCTTCGCCATGCTGACTCCTCCAAGTCTGTTGAATTGCTGGCCTGATCAAAGCTGAGCTGTTGGCGTTGCTGACTCGTACGTACTCTACCTCGTACTCTAGGCGTTGATGAGCGGCTTTACCGGCTCCACTCTCCAGCTAGGATCCAGCTAACATTGCCTCCAGCGTAGGCCAAGGTTTCCTCTACCAGCTTTGCCTAGGAGGAAGCGGTAAATTTCCGGCGGCTTGAAGAATTTTGCCTGGCACTGATCCGATTGAGCCTGCTGAGCCGACGAATACCGACGAAGGCCACCGACGACAGCGCAACAGCTGCGACAGGGCCGGAGCAGCCTCACGCGATCAAGACTATTGTGTCAATAATATTACGAAGTACACCTAAACCTATACTAGATTATGTTTACAATTAAATTAATATTTTATAACAAATAAATTGAAAGAAGCAAAAATTCCTCACAATTTTATTTTTGGTGCATGTATGGCGGCTACTGCTGGGCTACTGCAACGAGTTGAGCGGCTCTTTCCATTGAATCGGGCGGTGGCTTGCGCCATCTATCACAATTTCTTTAACTCAAGTTAAATTTATGCTTGCTGATCTTTAGGGGTGTCGCGAACCGGCCGAGGTTCGAGGTCGACCAGGTTCGACTTTTTCGACCTTTTAGTGGAAATTTCGACGAACCTTGTGGTGAGGATCGACTAGTGTGCGCATGCGCGACAGGCTGGCCAGTTGGATACAGATTGGATGGTGATGGCTAAGGGATGACTTAAGGGCACCGCTGATCGGTTATTTCAGTTAATACAGTACAAACAAAAATTAAGTTATTAACTTCTTCAGTGATTAGAATTGGTTTCTTTTAATTGCAACTGTTCATAAAATAAAATAACCCTTTGCATAAAAAAATATCTCCAAACCCAGACATACTTATATCAAGGTATGGCCACACTTTCCACAAAGTCGAACCAGTCGATTCTGGTGAAAAGGTCGAAGGTTCGTCGATCGGTTAGACCCAGTCGAACCCCGAAAGTTCGATCTAAAATTCTGGTCAGACAGAAGTTCGCGACACCCCCACTGATCTTTTCCAAACTCCGCGAGTGCGGCCACCGGACGGCCATCTTGCATGTAGCAAAATCGCGTTTTTGGAGCGCTGGAGAGGCTAGCGGGCAGCGTGCCAAGACACGTTTTCTACTCGTTCGTCGTTATTCGCCGAAGAAGTTTTTTTAAAACCTCGTGTAAACGGTCGTTGAGAAGTTGAGAACACCTAAAATTTTATGAAAGCGCAATGCCGTAGGAAAAAGGAACAGCCTCGCTTTTCCTTGGTCTTGGTACGCCGAAGTGCTACGTCTTTGTTAGGGGTGTCGCGAACTTTTGTCGACCGGATTTTGAGGTCGAACTTTCGGGGTTCGACTGGGTCGAACCGGTTCGACGAACCTCCGAACTTTTCACCAGATTCGACCGGTTCGACTTTGTGGACACTGTGGCCAGACCTTGATACAAGCATGTCTAGGTTTAGAGAATTTTTTTTTTTTATGCAATGGGTTATTTTATGTTATGAACAGCTGCAATTAAAATAAATAAATTCTTATCACTGAAGAAGTTCATAACTTAATTTTTTTGTACTGAATTAACTGAAAGAACCAATCAGCGCTGCCCTTGATTCATCCCTTAGCCATCACCATCCAATCCGAAGCCAACTGGCTTGCCTGTCGCTCATGCGCACACGAGTCGAACCTCAACACAAGCTTCGCCGAACTTTTCACTAAAAGTTCGAAAAAGTCGAACCTGGTCGAACTCGAACCGCGGCCGGTTCGCGACACCCCTAGACTTTGTGCCTTCGCATGCTTGGATACCGATCAAGAATCGACGCCACGGCAAAGTTTTGAAGGTGTGTCGCGCGTAGATGTCTTTGCATCATATATCGGCCACGGAGTTCTGGATCGTCCAGCTGTTCCGGCGAGTTAAGCAGAGCAACGCTGTGGAGCAAGGAAGGTTTTCAAAGGCAAAAGTACGAGACCAAAAAAAAAAGTAATTTATTTTTAACAATAAAAAAAAACATTCTTACTTTTTTTTTTTTGGGGGGGGGGGGGGGGATATTTTGCACGTATTTGAACCACAATGCAAGGTAATGCACAATATACAACATATATATTTAAAAGAAACGATGAAAAACTAGATTGGGCGATTAATAAAATATTATTAGTAAGTCACAGGTCATATGAGAAAATGGCCTAATGAATTCACGAATGAATCTACAGACGGGAAGTGAACAACCAACATTTCTATTAAAACACTGCACGCAAAAAAATAGTATTAAAAATTATTTCGATATTGTTAGCAGTGTGTCGTGGTTACTTGTGGCTCTGGATGTGTGCTGACTGAGGTAAGTTAGTTTTATCGATGAGGGTTTGGTCAATGATAATTTCGAATAAATATTGCAATCTTATAGCCCTTTTGTCAAGTGATGATAGATCAGCTAATTTACTTAGTTATGATAAGAAATCTGTGTAGCGAAATTCATTAAAAAAAATATAAACCTTGCAACAACACGTTGCACCCTTTCTATTTTAGCGACATTTGTTTTGTAGTGGAGGAACTTGATTACATCAGCGCGCTCTACTATGAGAGGCTCCAATGTTTTATATACTAGTAGTTGTGTGTCATTAGATGTTGTTTTTAATACTCTTCTTATGTACTTGAGCTTGTTAGTTGCGTTACTAGTAATGGCCGCAATGTGGGTTTTCTAGTGTTGGGAAGATCTTACAATGTACTTAAAGTACTACTTCAAATAGGTTTTGAAAACTTCTAATTTACTTGAAGTACATTCTCTGAGTATGTACCTGTAACTATTTTATTGCTACTATCTGAGAAATGGACAACTCCTTCAAATTACATTCCCCAAAATTAAAAAAGAAAATGGCGTAGCATGTGCAATTGACTTCATCCGATATTCTCTGCTATTTCTAAAAATAGCATGCACCAACGGTTACCCCTGAGCACACCGTGCCCCTGGTGCAATGTATACCAATTAAAAAAAAATAAAGAAAATCCGCCCGAGGACATCTAAACACTTATGAGTTGTGAACGCAAAATCATGAATATCGTTCTTCCGCTCCGTTAGTTCGTCTGCGGCGTAGTGGCGTGGACGGCCACACTTCCCCGTGAAGTGGCCGCACTGCGCTGAGTTCGGCCTAGCGCCCTCCCCGAAGTTTGCCCGAGCAAGCCCTGCCGCCAGGTCCGCACCGCTGTTACCGGCGGCCGGGCCGCTGCGTGCGCTGCGCCGCCATGGAGGGGGCTTCTTTTTTTTTTTTTTTTGGAACTACGCCGCACGAGAGCCAATGGGAGCCTCGTTCCCTGATGACGCGCGCCAGCCAATGGGAGCATAATTCATCAGAAATCGGCTTCACTTGGGAAAGGAGATTTCAGGTGCCGTTTGGCCAACGTTTGGCGTGGTTTTAAAGCTGATGACGTCGGTTCGCTCCATAGGAGTCTTGCCCTAAATAGTACGTGTATAACGCTCTTCATCAATGGAAAAAAAAAGGTTTAGTAGACGTTTACGTAACGACATATATATACTATTTTAAAACTTTCGGAGATACCTTTAAAAAAATTGCGTCGCAAAAAAAAAAAAAAAAAGAAAGACCGGTGTCGGTGTGGACGGAAAAATCCCGACTGGTTGATAGGGTCATGACGTCACAGACACATGAACTCGCGTGGGAACTTCAAAGAACCCACAACGCTCATGCGAAACGTGATGTCACGCGTGGAATGAAAGTGATTAAAACATAACATGTAATACGAATTAAAACTCGCCGCAAATCTCAAATGATTTTACTTCATACATTCATTCATTTACCTTAAAGAAAGATTCCGAAGAAGTTTAGGCGGAGGCGGGATTCGAACCCAAAACCCTTCGGTTACGAACCAGACACGCGACCCACTGGCCCACGCAGACAGTTTTTTTTTTCTTCTTTATTGCATTGAAAATTGAGCTCATCATGTATAGTTACAATGTTACATGGTGAAAAAATGATTATACGCAGAGTTACAGTAATGAGGTGAGAAGTTTAGAGGACTGCTTTTCCTGAGCCACAGTCCAGGAGCACATATTCACTCACGGCACATCACATATGCACACACTGCGTTTCTAAGCACGCAACAATCTCGACTGTTTTTAAATATTAAAAATCTGGTAGTCCTGCATCAGAAAGGGGAGACCATTCAGGCACTGGTGGATGAGCTTCGTAAACACTTCTTACTTTCGAAATTTCTTCTATAAAAATGGAATTAGTGGTGCGTGGTGTGTCGGCATTCCTGTCAATCATCCTGCATTTCCAAAGGCTACGGAGGCCTATCAGCACGAATAAATGATATGGAATGTGTGTTTCGGTAGGGATGTGTAAAAAACGAATATTATGGATGGTAATATTTATATTCCCTTTAAGAATTCGTTGGAGGACATCCCAGAAGAAAACGGCATCTGTACAGTAGATAAAGCAGTGTTCTATTGTTTCTGGCCAGTGGCATAAGCAAAAGTCAACTAAACATGGTAAAAAAAAATATGCACGTTCTTGGACCCACCATTTCAATGGTTGCGTTGATGTGTGCAACTTAAAGAAAAATATTTTAGCACCTGGAGATATGCACATTCGCTTTACGCATTTTAAAACACCGTGTCCTTCATAGTCACTAAACCGTGCCCTATATAACGGAACTGGGAGTCTTCTTCGTGGTAACTCAAACAGATATTGTAAGGAGAAGCGCACTTTTAGGAACATAAAGGTGCGGAGTCGACTACCTGTTTCCAAAAGCCCCAGAGTTTGTCTGGGGTAGAATCTGTCGTTAAAATGATCACGAAAGTCAAGTTATGTGCTAGCTTTTTTTGAACGACCGTAAGCAGAAAAGGGTAGGATAAATTCCTAAAGAAAAACAGTCTGGAAACGTGCTGGCGGACGAATAGATGTGCCAGAGCCAAGCCGCCAATTTTTTAGCCGAAGGCATAAGTTATCGCACTTTATCCGTTCACAAGAAGAGCTCCAGATAAAGCTCGCAGAGGTCCTATGGAATGCTTTTCCCTTTGGACGGCCACACTAGAATACTTGTTAGACATACATTAATTAATACATTAAAAAATGCTACACACTGCTGCTTTTGCGAAGATTGAAATTTTTCGCGCTCTCTATGATAATGATTTTTCCCTTAATACGACAGAATTCCAATATTGTTTGTTAGATCGTGTTTGATCCAGAGGACCGGCAAGGTTATTTGAAAGGACAACAACTCCACGGTAGCTGAACAAAATGTCTTGGCATGGTTGCCCACGCACATATACAGAACCAGAAGCCATTATTATATATTTTTTTTTTTCGGTATTTAACCTTGTTCCAGCTACTTTGCAATACGTCTGTGTTACATGAAGGCCTTTCTTCACACTTTTCTTATTCGGACAGAACAAGGCCACGTCATCCCCGTATGCATGCTAGTAATGTTACCTCTGTGAAGCAAAGG